TCGTAAACTGACATTTGACATCCATCCCGAACTGTCTCACTCCTACTTCTACTTCCCAAGTATTATTTTCCTCCATCTCTCACTGTATTCCAACGTCATCCATATGTTACACTGTTCACCCTAAAGGTTAGCCAAAAGGATTTACTACGCGGGCAGTTACCACTTACGGTACCGCATTACGGTTGGCAACATTAGCAACCCAGGTGAGGTACAGTATCCGAAAACATCCTGTCGTTGTCATTCCCGCGTACCTTTCTTCCATGTCAATTCACAGGTGTGTACATAATCCATGTTACAGGTTACAGGGATAGTCTAGATGCAGGAAGCGTGTACATAGACCGACCAGCTTTGTGCAAGCCGGGTATGGCCGAAGGTTCATATCTGCTGCTCTCTACATAGCTGATCATTCCCAATCCAAAGTCGATGGGCCTGACCTTTCGTTATTCATCCATCATACCAAAATCCTCTTCTTACTGCTCGTTCTTCATGACATTGTACAAGCTGCCAATATGCGGCAAGATCTCCACCACGAACTCATCACCATCATGCAAAATCTCCTTGGGATTCCTAGCGAAGCCCACACCAGCCGGAGTGCCTGTAATGATAATGGTGCCCTTGGGCAGCGTGGTACCCTGAGACAGGAAGCTGATAATTTGTTGGACCGAGAAGATGAGGTCGCTGCATCCATCGTCTGTCAGTATCCGACCCAAACGCGGAAAAGGGTAAAGGGAATAACTCACGTCAAAGGACTCTCCTGCACCACCTTCCCATTCTTCCACCCCCTCAACTTCAACCCGCCCACATCCCTAATCACCTCCTTGCTCACCAGCACAGGACCAATTGGGCAGCTGCCGTCGAACCCCTTGGAGTAGCACCACTGCGTCTGCGCAAACTGGAACGCGCGGCTGCTGATGTCGTTGCTGGCGGTGTAACCTAAAACATAGTCGAGCGCTTCCGCTTCAGAAACGTTCTTGCAGTCTTTGCCGATGATGATGGCCAGCTCGGACCCGTAGTCGGCTGAGCCCGACTCGATGGTGTGCTTGGGAATCAGCGTGGGAGCTGGGTAAGGGTCGGCAAGGGCGGTGGCGGGCTTGAGGAAGAGGGTGGGAATCTCAGAAATGGACATCTTGGCTTCTTGGCGTGTTTCTTGTACTGTTTTTGGAGAAATTGGTTAGCTCCAAAATCTAAGCACCTTGGGTGGTGTAGAGAGAGGTTGTGGGCGGGAGGAGCTCACGTTCAAGCCAATGCAGCGGATGGTGCCAGCCTCTTGGGCAGTAACGGGAGACAGAATACGGCCGATGGTGGCCTTGTTGCCGGTAGGAGAACCGGCGTCAAGAACGGAGGTGCCGGAGTAGACGGTCACTTCGACGTCTTCGCCCTTGCGGACGGCGGCACCGACGTCGACTTGGTTATTAACGGGCTCGCCGATGAGGACCTTGGAGTCATCACCCTTTGGGACGAACCTTACAAGACCTGGAAAGAATCAAGTGTTAGTTTGATACTATTACATGTTCTCCGGATATAGTCTGGAAACATTGTCCAGTCTCGAAGTGCAGAAGTGGCAAGACAAGGAGGTGTTGAACTCAAGGTTGAACGACATGTTTGCTGTTTTTCTTCTGGACTTCTAAAGAGTAGGTGACAAGAACGATAACTCCACACAAGAACAGTAAGGGTTTCAGGTAGCAAGTACACCTATACTTCAACGTTTTCAATCACCGCTTCGTCAACAAGGTCAAGGAAGGAAATCCAAGGCCATAATTCGGAGAAGGAGAGGAGATCAGCATCACCGAGATGAGGGCAAGCAGGAACTCATTAATATGACCGAAGCTAATGTTAATAGTCCTGCTTAACATAAAGCTTACTAACCACTTGTTCATCTTGCCTACACAATGTCTTGTCCGGCAGCACCGCATGTCATTGTGGGACAGTGTATTGTATTTACCATGCCATCCGCAGATCAGCCTGATTTTCTGCTGCTGCGTTGAGTTAATGATGGAAGTTGGAGATGAGAGGTTCAGTTTCCCCGAACCCGCAAGATATCCTTGGTATGCAACTCCCCAACATGACAGAGTGTGGCAAGTGCCGGATGCCCCTGCTGATACCACAATTAGAAACCCTTAAATGACAGATAGACGCCATACACTAGGAAGAGAGAGAAAAAGGGAATGATGAAAAGGATCATGATAGGGCGAAGATAGTTTCTCCCGTTCCCGGAAAGAACCCTCTCGGGCCCTGGAGGACCTAGAACCGGGCAAGAACACCCCCACATTCCCCCGCAGTGCAGGGACTTACCCCATCTCTCGATCCCGTTAGCGGGAAACACATGGTGTCAACGTTCAGGAACGAGAGGAGACGCCGTGGAGATACCAAGAACTACATAAGCTTCTGTCAGCTTTTGAAGGGTCCTCGTTGCCTGTGGAGAGTGACCATCTTCTGGGTTTCCTCCGTTGTCCAGACTCTGGAGGCTGTAGGTTGTAGTTAGACATGACGAATGACGTTCAGGTTGGCCATGTCAAGAAAGCGCAATCGTGATGTCCAAAGCAAGGGGAGCAACAAAGAAGGGGAAAAAAGGATATTGTATAGGAGGTAAATGAGCTAGAAAAAAAATGCGAAAGAACATACAACACCTGGGATTCGCTGGTCGTCAGCCGACCCAACTACTAGTCAGGCCCTCACTGACTTATCTATGGGAGAGCGGACGGGATCCCGAGTTTTCCAGTGGGTGTGGTCGTATGTACTAATGCGGTGTAGAGCTGATGCCTATCAATTGAGAATGGTTTGTGGATTGTGTGCCGATGTTGTCTATACGGCATGGTTGTGGTTGTAGTTGTGGGTGGTGTTGTGGTGAATGATAGTTGACTACTCTATTTACTCCACTGGACTGAATAATTTATCGCTTTATGCATGATACCCTTGGGCTGACGATGTGCACGTAAGTACCGTTAGTTACGATGTTCATAATGTGCCACTATATCATTATGTCTTTCTTGCCTGCGCGGGAAGTTTGAAGAGAGCGATGACGTTGTCTTGAAGGAAAACTGGTAGTGTCAAGTGTTTGAGCTTCGGGTCAACTAATCACAAGATATTTTCTCATATGCTCGCAAGTGTTTGTGTAGTGGTAATAGCGTATAGATACATCGTATCCCACACCGTAAATATACAGCTGAACATACCATACAGCATTAGTTATCTATTTACCGACAGAAGAAAAGACAAACATAGGACATTATAAACATATGAGCAAGTAAGCAGAACATATACCTCGAGAGTAATTACAAAGGAGACCAGCATTGTTGTGTGCGCGAGTGTGTGTGCACCGCACCGCACAGCACCGTCCGTAGTGTATCGACTTTCCGAACATGATCTTCAAGATATGTAGATGTAAAAAGTAAAAGATAAACGAAGACCACTTTTCCGTGCATCGTTCGTGATTCTATAACCTTGTTTCCCTTTTCCATCTGGTCCTGACCCGTGAAAGAGATGACTGTCGTATGTATGTATGTATGTATATATGTACGCGCAGCCAGCCAGCCAGTCAGCTCTGGAAGGAAGCCCAGGGTATCCGTGTGTCCTTTCCCCGGACTCTGATCTGCACATCTCCATTTTTGCGTTGAGGGATGCGAAGGACAAGGCTATCGGTCGCGACGATCGCCTGCAACGTGGGGGATGATCGGATCGTGTGTTGATCCCAGAGTTGACGGACGGACTGACTCACTGATCAACTGGGACTGAATGTATACATATCTCTTACATATACAGACGCACAGGTTGTGGGAAGCAATGACACAGACAACGCCGGTACAGGAAACATATATTATATATATACTTGGAGAAGGGGCCCAAGAAAACAGAAGAGTTGACTTTGACGTGCAAGGTTTGAAAAAAGTGTCCATTTATTTACCTCTCTCCCGCCCTCCCATCACTCCAAAATCAAGACGCGTATCCTGAAAGTGAAGAACGAGAAAATGGGAAAGAACATCCTCTATATCCAACCGTAACCAACAGCTTCATTTATACAATCCTGATATCTTCTTCACGCTTTAGATTTGAGCACCGAAGATCTCACCACAGCCCCAGTGCTGCTCGCAGTTGCAAGAGCCGGGCTGCTTCCAGTGGTCATCGGTGAAGGAGAAGAAGACGACCTTCTTGCCCAACTCCTGCTTAATGGCGGCAAGAGCGGTCCTCTGCTGCTCGCGACCGGGGCAGGCCTTGCCAATGCACTCACCGGCGGTGGGCCAGCCAGTCTCCATGACGAAGCCGGGCTTGTTGCAGATCTTCTCAACAATCTCGAGCTGGCCAGCGACGAAGGTACCGGCCTGCTCGGGGGAAGTGTTGGCGTTGAAGTAGGCGTGAGCGTTGCAGGCAACGACATCGATGGCGTTGCAGATGGAGCTCACATCGTTGGCTTGCCAAGCAGAGACGACATCGGTGGTGGTGTAAGGACCAGAGTAGCCGGCGCTGCCAAGCTCAGACTTGACGTGGTGGATGAGATCGGTGAGCTGGCCAACGGAGCAGAAGCCGTTGAAGAGAGCCTCGTTACCGACGACAACGAGGTCAACCATGTCGAAGCGGCCCCAGGACTTGATGGCGGCGATCTGCTCAGAGACATCGGGAGAGCCGTTTTCGCAGCCGACAGTGCCGATGAAGATGCCGAGAATGAGACGGAGACCGGTGGCCTCAGCAGCGGCACCGACGCTGGGGAGAGTGTCGCAGTCAGTAGAGTAGACACGGAGGGTGGTGAAGCCAGCCTTGGCAATGGCCTTGATGTCGGTCATGACGTCGGCAGCGGGCTTGCACTGGCCGTCCTGGGTAAAGGGAGTGTAGGTCATGGCCCACTTGTCACCCTTGCCGCCGAGGTTGCTGGTGGGCGCGGTGGGCTTAGGGGCGACAGAGGAAGAAGTGACCGAAGGCTTGACCTCGGAGACAGGGGGAGCGACGGAGACAACGGGAGGAGGAGCAACGACGGAAGTGGGCTCGGAGGTGGGCTCAGGAGCCTGGGTCGAGGGAACAGGAGGCTCAACAGCGGTGAAGGGGCAGTAGACAACAACGTTGGTCTCGGTGACGGTGGTGACGACGGCGGGAGCAGAGTAGGTGCCGGGGCAGTAGGTCTCGACGACAGGGACCACAACAGTGACGGGCTCGCTGTCGGTGACGGTGGTGGTGATGGGAGCAATGGTGTAGGTACCAGCGCTGGGGCAGACGTAGGTGGTAAGCTCAACGACGCTGGTAACAACACCATTCTCGGCAGTCTTGGTGGTAGGCGACGGGGGCAGACAACGGTAAGGTGGAAGTCTCGACGACGGTGGTGACACACCAAGAGTGTGGGTACCGCTAGGAACAACGGTAGAGGAGGCACCGCAGACGGTCTTGGTCTCGGTCAGGACCACGGTGGTGGCGGGGAAGGTGTAGGTACCCGGAGTAGGGCAGGTCTGCTGGATCGGGGTGGGCACGGTGATGGGGCCTTGGGAGGTGGTGGTAGGGACCACGACAACCTCGGTGGTGCTAGGGACCGCAATCGAGGAGGTGTTGGAGAAGACCAACGAGGAGGAGGAGAGGGTGGGGAGGGCCTCGCTGGTGGTGATGACCGAGGAGGTGGTAGGAACGGCCGTGGCGGGAGGAGTGTAGACTGCGCAACAGGTTAATTTTTCCGAGCAAACAGACAGTTTTCTTTGAGGTCAACATACGGCCGGCAGGACCAGTGATGGTGGTCCAGATGGTGGTGCAGCCGGGGACACAGATCTCGGTGTCGTTGTGAACCCTCTTCTCGAACAAGGGCTGGTGAAGGTGACGGTGGTGAACTCTGTTCGCGCTCGCGCCGCCGGCGAGGATGGCCGCAGCCGCAACGATTGTTCCCTTCATGTTGATTCTGGTTCTCCTTCTGTGTGTATTTTTTGTCGGTGGTGATTAGGTGTATTATCGCAGAATGCTGAGTTCGTGCGATTGGCGTTGATTAACGAATGCCCGCTAAAAGAGTGAAGCGGTGGTGTGGTGAAGAAAAAAAGAGTGTAAGATCGAAAGCGCAAAAGAGGCTATCGATGTTGAATATCAACACGCACGTTGGGCAGGTGAAGGAAGGGAAAGGGGAAGCAAAAGAAAAGATCGGGCCAGACGGGAGAGACGGCAGTAATATTAGTACCCATTGCAAGACCGGGGAGGGTGGCAGTCGGTGGCAGCCACTTTTACTTGGTTAGGTTCTAACTTGGCGCCATTCGTTCGTCCGTCACGGTCGCCATGGGACCCCTGGGGCGCTATCCTGAGAGAGTTTGGTTCCTGGTGGTTCCTGATGCGGCCCACAATGGAACTTGCACAACCAGAAGACGGGAGGCATCTGAAGAGTGAAGACCCGTCGTTCCTCTCATGTCGTCTGCGAATAACAGAGCACAGCATCTGTTGGACACTTTGACAGCCAGTCGGCCACAAAGCTCGATCCATCCTCATCCTCCTCCTCATCATCCACCCCGTCCACCCCCGTCCTCCCCGTCCTCTCCTTGTTTTTCTTTCCGGGCCCTGGGAGCCTGGCTCATGTCGCCCATCGGAGAGGAGACCACCTTGCGCTTCTCAGGTCCCCCGACCATCCCTGTCCTCAGCCTGTCCGGCGAGTGGACGGTGAGCCCGCGCTTTGGTGAGTGGTGGATACGACTCTTACCCTTGGATGTGGACCTTTCATTAGAGAGCGAGAGCTTGGCCCGTCAGACCGGCGACACCCAGTCCCTGGACACCGTCTTTTTCTTCCTCATCCCTCACAATTGCTTCCATCTTGAGGTTCGGTGCATGAAAGGGGGACCATGCCTCATTTGTGATATGAACATGCAACATCTCGACAGGCTGGCGCCGGTGGTGCTGGCTGCCCTGGATGCCTTATCTCTGCCGTGATGGTATACGACCAGGTGAGGTCCGAGGCGGGAAAGGATATTCGGAGGACTCAACGCCAATTCGAGGGCAGACCAATCACATACACGCGCACTACTATACAGAGGAGTACAAGACCATGGTACCTGGACGTATACGATCCTGTGTAGAGCCGATATGCGGCACCATGGGCAAACACGGTACCTGTGCCTCGTACCTGAAGGTGGAAGCCCGGGTGCGTGCAATCACGAAGAAGGCCGCCATCTTGGAAGACCAATTTGGCTTCATTCATTTGGCGATGATCGGATAATGGGGATAGAGGGGCGTCGAGCACTTGCAAGACAAGCCAAAAATGAGTACAACATCCTGCGAAATAACTGGGTGGATTTGGCCAGCGAGGGTCTGGAGGTGTGTGGTGGTGGTGTTGGTAAATTGGCGAAGCTCTAGCGCGGGGACTTTTTGAGAACAAGGTGTGGGAAAGAGGGAGATGGAAAAAAGGAGGTCACGGTTGCAGTGCGATGACGAGAAAAGGTGGGAGCTTGCCCGAGGGAGCCAGGAACGCCTGCAGCACAGAGGCACAGAATAAGCAGGTACGCCGTACACACAGACACACGCCCAGCACGCCCAGCGGGAAGGTACGCTACGCTGTGGTTGCTGGGCTCCACCTGGGTGCACACTCTCCTGTCAATTGAGTGACATTGTGACCAAAAGACCAATCAGGATCCGCGAAGAGCATCCTTATTTTGGACAAGCAAGCAGTGGCAAGTTGGAATAGGGGATCAAGGGATTTGCTGATGGTTTGTCCGATGTGAGCCAGGAAGAGACGCGCCTTGGGAAATTAAATAAGCGATATTAGCAAAGTTTCCCGCCATGGCCAGTTGAAACAGCCACATTTTACCACACTTCGTTCACGATCTTGGCTTGCATTTGCCATTGAGATCTAGAAGAAGCAAAAAGAGCACACAGTTCGTCAAACATGGGCAACTACCTGCCTAGGGGAAAGAGGCTCATGGTGGCGTGTATAAACAAAATCAACTTGCACCACAAATTTCTCGAGTCTGTCTCACAAACTGCCAACAACATCAAAGAAAACCTCGAGGGGTCTGAGGGGGCATGATTTTAAACAGCCTCTCGCTCGACATCTCCCATGGGCAGATTATCCGCTGATCCTGTGGCGGACAACCTAATATTGCTGCTGACGACTACGGTGCACAACTGAGTACGCTCTACCCCATATCTCCGTCTACGATTCAGATCCAGGCGGACATCAAGGTGCTTCTTTGCTGGCTTGCGACATGGAAGCCTTGTGAAGCCGGGGAGCCAAAGCAAAAAGATATCAACACACAATGGGAAGGAACAGAGGCGGGGTCTGGTTCCTGGCAATGCGGATCCTTCGGCGGATCTCTCGAGCTCTCCAAAACAGCGGGTGGATCGTACCTGCATAAGAGCTCGGCCACTCCACTTGGGGGATGCTTCCATTGGTCACTTGCTCTGATTGCACTTTTTGTGACAAGCCGACAGCAAGGTCTTGAAGATCCATGATGGGACTGGGGCACAAGTTCAACAAACATCGGGAACAACAAGGGCGACGAACTGTTGCCCCAAAGTTCTACCGAGGACTTTCATAGGAACTCCACGAAGCATTGTCTGGGCCCTGATCTCCCTATCTTGGCCTGCTTTTCTCTGGACCTTGCCCAGTGTTTCTCATCTCGCAAGCCGCAACAAGCAACTCGGATTTCTGGGCATCTCCAGAGCCTAGGCTGACCCCATGAAAACAATCGAGGAGTGAGTCCGGAGGTGGATTATCGGTTATCAAAGCCAAGTGCTACCAAGAAAGTCGAGACCTCTTTGGAGAATTCGGGGTAAACGGGTACATCTCCATGAGCTTCAAGGGCCGTGTATAATTAGCAAGTTCTATTTCGGTTTCCATCAATGCCGCATGCTATGAAGGGTCGGTGTGCTGTGCTGACTTTGAGCTTTCGCTTGTCTCAGAAAGCTGGCTCGCTGGCTGGCAGTGTTTGATATCAGGATTGAATGATCGCCATCCAGCCCATGCAGGGTTAGGGTTATGTGTGTGGACAATCCAAATGGACCAAAAAAGTCATCTGAGTTCGCGTGCAACCTGCAGGGCCACACACAGGCCATTGGCGCGGAGAACGCCACACCCGCGTTAAGAAATTTCGAAACCGAACGTCGACGACCAGGTCAACGGTTCGATATCCGCAGCCTCAAATTATCGACAAATACATTGAGCTGCAAGTATGATGCGCTCAGCTGGCCGTCAGCCATATGTCTGCTGGCAATGTCTCTCCCGCAAAGAGGCAGGGCAGCACATTGCCCTAAATGCCCGTAAAGGCCGGGTCTCAACGCTGTCGACGCTAGCATCGTCGCCGGCATCATCGCCAGCAGCATCACAGCCAGTCCGGCAATGGGGCAGCATCACCCTCTGCCTCTCTCATGAAAGGCGACAAGGTCTGTCCACTTCAAGGTTGCTACTCGGCAAGAAGACACCGATACAGATATCAGATGAGGCTCTGGAGGACTTCAGCTTGCCGTTGCCACAGGACTTGCAGTATCTTCAAGACAGTCAACCAATTGGAAAGAAAAGGTCTGCAAACCTGTCCATTCGACAACGGTTGAAGCAATGGGAAGCTGAGAATCCAGAACCCTTTAACTCTATACCCTCGGATTTCGCCCTTCCAGGCCGGTCTATCAACTCACTTACATCAAAGCGATCCGACCACATGCTTGAGATGGACAATATCGATCATGACAATGCCACTGTCCAGATCGATGATCAAGATCTGATCGATACTCAGGTCACCCCTCGAGTTCAAGCCGGTGATCTGTTGGAACTCAAGTCCGAGGACTGGGGCATTGGCGTTCTCGCCGTCTGCTTGGGATCCTTCAATGGCATTGATCACTTCTACGCAGTCACTGGCAAGTGGTTTGCCAGCACCAACGCCAAATCCGGTTTCATCGTCAAGAACTTCATCAGCAATCCGGCCGATCTGCAGCCCGTCATTGATGCACTGCCTTCAACCGTTGGTGATATGTCCGTCATGTTTGAGCTCCAAAAACTCCGTGCAGGCCCGACCCGTGAGCACGGTGCCGGCTTAATCACCAAGATGCTCGAATTTCAAAACACCTCTTCGGAGATTTATCAGAACAACCTTGAGCGCTTGAGCAGCCCTTATCGACATATTCCTGAGGAAGAGCAGTTGATGACGCTGGGTGAGATTGCCGAGTTTCTTCTCCCTCCCAAGCTCAAGGAGTCATCCGGCGGTTTCCCTCCAGAAGCCTTGTACGCAGTTTACACCGTCCTTTCATTCGAAGATGCTTTCTTCCACTCACTCGGCCAGGGCACCGCCGGACCAAGCTCAATCATCTTCCACGTTGCCGCTAAGTCTGATATCGAGAACGTCGCTCGGGTTGAGAGAATGGTGCGCGACCACTACAGCCCCGAGCTCCTGGATCGCAAATCACGGAGGGAACACGATAGGCTGGAACCGGTCTTGAAGCAGGCTCGGTTGGCCATCGACCATAGCCGGAAAATGCGCGAGTGGTCAAGCCACGGAATGCTCGGTCCCACCACCAGAGTCCTCCCGGCCTCGACTTACTCCTGGTCTCGGGATGCTTTGACTGTCATCAGCGTCATTCACATGTGGGCAGCCTCGGATGTTTTCCCGCGGAGCTCAAAGTACCAGTGGATCGGTGCCGCCGTCTTGCGTGCCCTCAGGAGATACCAAGATGCCGAGGTACTTGACGCTACAGTGGGTTGGACCTTCCTGCAAGAAATTGGCTGGCTCATGCCCTGGGAAATCCATGCCCGTCATAGCCTGCGTCTTCCCGGCCTTCAGGTCAACCGGGCGGGCGGTTTACTGCCGAGCCCAGAGGAGCAACAGCCAGCTGAGCTTGCCGAAGACGTACTTGCCCCGCTCCGCCAGGATTTCTCCGCCTCAACTGTGTACTGCATCGATGCTCCAGATGCGAAGGAGATCGATGATGGTGTTTCGCTTGAGAGAACAGACAAAGAGAGAGAGTACTGGATTCATGTACACATTGCCGATCCGACGTCGAGAATCAGACCTGACAGTCCGCTCGCTAAGCGAGCAGCTCTCATGACCCAGACCAGTTATCTCCCAGGGCATGTGGATAAGATGATTTCAGATGAAGCCGTCGTCGAGGAGTTCTCTTTGGCTCCCGGTCGTCCTTCTCTCACATTCAGTGCGAGACTGAACGAGGAAGGAACCCTCCTTGACCACAAGGTCACTCCAGGAAGGATAGGAGAGGTCGTCTATATCACCCCACAGGATGTGGCGGCTGCGGTTGGGCCCGTGGACGCCGGCATCCCCAAGGTTTCGATTCCCGATGTCGTCTTGGAAGTTGGCACCCCTCCGTCTGCCAGGGACGAGGCGCCGACAAGGAAGATGACCAAATCGGACGAATTGTCGGAGCAGCATGTCAAGGACCTCGAGATTCTTTCCAAGCTCGCCGCCGCCATTCACAAGGCCCGCGTACAAAAGGGAAGCGTGCCGATCTTCCTCCCTTCCCCCAACGCTTCTTTCTCGCTGGAGAATGCCCGCATCGAGCATACGCCCAGCGGTTTCCTCGCCTGCACCAACGACCCCTACATCTCCGTCAAGTACTCCCTCAGCGGCGGCCTCCACCCCATCGTGGACGACCTCATGGGCACAGCCAACCAGATCGCGGCCCTGTGGTGCTACGAGCGCGGCATCCCCATCCCCTACCGGACCAACCTTCTGGCCGCCCAGAACGAGGAAGCCCTCCGCGCCTACACCCAGGACGTCATTTACCCGCAGCTGATCGCCGGCAAGCAGCCCTCGATCGAGCAGGCGCGCACACTGCGCAACCTGCTCGGCGGCCACGACATCGCCGCCACGCCCACCTTCATCTACACCATGGGCGTGGACATCTACACCAAGGCCACCTCGCCGCTGCGCCGCTACTCGGACTTGCTCGTGCACTGGCAGATCCAGGCCGCCCTGCTCGAGGAGCACAAGCGCGGCTCCTCCAAGGCACTCGTCACCCGCACGTTCGACAAGTACGACCTCAAGCCGCCCATGAACGACAAGCAAGCCGCCCGCCTCGGCCTCCCCTTCACCGCCTCCCACCTCGAAGACAAGGTCTTCCCGTCCCTGCGCGTGCGCGAGCGCCACGCCAAGAACCTGGCCAACTTTGAGGGCCGCAACGAGCTGATCCTGCAGGCGCTGGTGCGCGCGTGGCGGTTCGACGAGGGCCCCAAGGGCCAGGTGCCGGACAAGTTCACGTATACCGTCGTCAACACGCAGAACTCGTGCGTGCGCGGCAAGCTGAATTACTTTGACTTGTGGGCGGAGATCGATCTGGAGAACCTGGCTGGGTTCAGCTTGCTCAGCGATATGAGGGCGGGCGATGTGTTGACGGTCGAGCTGGCGGATGTGAATGTGCATATGAGAAAGATTGTGGTCAAGCCGGTGGAGTTTGTGCAGCGCGGACCGGAGAAGAGGAGGGTGTTCGCTGAAGAAGAGCAGGAGGAGGAGGGGGGGGTAGAAGGCGGGGAGGAATATATTGATGTTACAGGGCATGAGTTGTTGCAGCCTGAGGAGAGGTGATCAAAGACAACTCACTTGGCTCTGTACAGTGTAGTGTATAGTTGATGTTAAGAAGGATTTTAGACAAAAATGTGACAGTATAACGATGAGAGAGAAGGCGTTCGTTTGAGTCAATTTTGCATCTGATTCATTGTTTGCTCCTTATAGGCCGTATAACACTCGTTATATCGGTCTTTATTGTGTGATCAAATATACTTGTACGATCACGACACTCCAATACACGTCACGCAGGCCACAAAAAGAGAGGTTCCAACTTCCATTCCTTCATTTCATTCCTGCATGCTTGTCTGCTCTCATTATTACCCCTCTGTTCCCCGACAATATGCCTCGTCATTTCCTCCGTGACCCCATCATGTCGTCCTTACTAGGCTTGTCATCTCTCCTCGTGCTGCCATGATAATAGAGCGAAAAGGAAAGAAAAAAAAGACGATAAAAGGCTACAAGGCTGAAGCAAAAGTGGGTATCTTCGCCGAAAGCCAAAGCGCAAGCAACAAACTTCTGTTGCCTTTGATAGTAAGAAAGAGAAGAAAGAGAGAAAAAACCAGCAAGTTGACGACAAAGAAGATTTGCTGATACCAGTATGACACCTCGTCATACTTGGTTGCCAGGTAACCGGGATCAGTTAATCAGGTCATTGATACCGAACCCTCCCTTGGAGCTTACCGAAGCTTCTCGCTGTTGTTGCTGTGGCTCTTCTTGCTGCAGCTGTTCTTGCTGATGCTCCTCCCGCTCCTGCTGATGCTCCTGCTCCAGCTGCAGCAGTGCTTCACGTGCACGACGTCGTTGACGCTGCTCCATCTCCACCAGCATTCTGAATGCTGGTCCCATCCCGTCAAGGTTAAGGTTAAGGAAGTTATCATCATCGTCGTCGTCGTGGTTGTTAGCCTGCGGCAAATGCGTATGCTCATTATCTTGCTGCTGATGCGGCTCATCGGGCTCAGGCTCGTCAACATCCATCGCCTCAGGCTCAGGCTCAGGCTCAGGCTCCGGTTCAGCCTCATCCTCATCCTCATCCTCAGCCATCGAGTTTGCCGCGTCAATCAAGTCTTCGAGGTTATCGTGGCCGCCCTCCTCCTCCTTCTCCTCCTCTTCCTCAGCAGGACCACTCGCATTCTCGCCAATCGGTCTCTGACTTCGTCGACCCCTCGACCTAGACCTAGACCTGGTAGGCCTCAAAATCGAATCCCTCAAATCCACAAACCATCGTATACTCTCCGCGCTCGGATTCAGTGGATTTCTCGCCCGAAAAACCTGCGCCACATCCCACAGCGTCCGGAGCGCACTCGCATCTCCCTCTTTCTGTCGCAGACGTAGCACCTTCTCGTTGTCAACCCAGGCGGCCTTCATCTTAACGAACAGCCGCCGATCGTTGTGGTAGCGCTGGAGTTGCTCGGGCGTCATTTCGTTGGTCGGGTGGTATCTGGGGGTGGTGCGCAGAGAGGGCACGGCTTGGCCGAAGACGTCTGATGGCATTGACAGGTAGCTGTAGTTGTTGTTGTGCTGGGTGTTGCTGCCGCTGACGCTGGTTCGAGGCTGGGTGTGAGGGTAGTTTAGGAAGGAGTAACTTTCGTAACCAAGGGGAGGGGTGGGAAGCGCGGGGCCGCCGTAGGGGGTTTGCATGCGGAGAGTCGAGGTGAGACTTCGTTGGTGGAAGGCATCGAATTCGGGAATTTGAGGGATTGAGAGGTTGAGGCTCGGGGTGTTTGGGGGAGCGGCGGGAGGAGCGGGACTGGCGCGGGGTGAGGGTGGTCCTTTCCAGGTGTCGGGGATCGGCTCGAAGGTCATAAGAACGGGGAATTCCTTCAGCTTGGAGTCGAAGATGCTTCTGTAGAGAACCATGATGGAGTTCTGTTTGCGCTGTTGCTCGCGGGAGATGGGGCGTCTCGCTGGTCGTCCAGGTGCATCGGATATGAATTCCTCCTCGACGGGAGTGAGAGCAGCGGATGAACTGCCGGCCTGGGTCTGTCTGCTCATACGATCTGCGTTCCTCGAGATTGCGGCGGCGCGAACAGGTCGACCAGACGCGGCAGTTAGTTCAATCGACGGAGATTGGAAATCCCTGAGTAGAGACATGTTGCTCAGAGGGGAGGGTCTGATGGGAACGTTGCTGGCGGGTTGACTCTGCGGGGCACGGCGGTGATCCTGCTGCTGCGGTTCGGCGAGATTAACGTGACGTGATGCACGGCTGGTTTGACTTGCGACGTGTCTGCGAGAAGTTTGTTGTTCTTCGATGGGTTGACTTTGTTGTAGAGTGCGGCTGGTTCTAGATTGCTGGGTGCCAGGATGTTCTTCTTGTTGCTCCTCTACGCGATGGGGTTGTCTCGAAGTGCGACTGGTCTTGCTCATGCGATCGATGGCAACTGTCGCTGATCTGCGCGGGTTGGGGCGATAACTAGCGGCAGTGAAAGCTGCGTCAAGTTCTTCAGAATCACCATGTGACTCGGAATAGTGGGAGTCGGTAGCCGCTGGTTCTTCTTGGCTGGTGCTTCGAGCTATCGACTTGTGCCTTTTGGCACGAGGCATGTACTCCTCGTCTGGCATGTAGTCCTTGTCTTCGTCTTCATCCTCTTGATGGCGAGGCATTGTGGCGCTTGGTTGGGGTTGGAAGTATTCGGGAGGAAAAAGTGTGCGCAAAGAGGGCAGTCGCAGTTGGTACTGAGGAGAAGGTGAGGCTGTGACTGAAGAAGAGGTTGTGCTCGGGCGGCTTGGCTGATAGCGAGCGGGAGCACGTGGTTTCTTGACGGCGCGCTTCCGTGCCGGGTAGTCTTTAATGATAGGACTCCAGTCCGTTCCGGCAATGTCGACGAAATGCTTTCCGTCCCCCTCCAGCTGGTTTGCAAAGACACACGCTTTGCAGACATAAAATGGGCAAACTAAGCAGCGGAGGAGAAAATCGTGTGCCCTCCGGTTGCATATGTCGCACATTTGCACTTTTCCAAATCGCTTCTCCCATCCCTGATGCGAAGGTGGTCTTTTGCGGCCAGTGTTTCCGGTAATTTCATTGGCTTTTCTTTTTGTGCCAGCGCACTTGGTGTGAGTGTCGTGGCTGCTAGTTGACTCCATGGTGACGTGACAAGATCTCCGGCTAAGGAATAGTGACTGTCGACTATGAGGTGGTGAAGAAAGACTGAGTGGGTTCTATAGAGCGGGTTGGTGATGGTTGACAAAATACGGTTTACAAAGAACAGAGGGGGAAAAACAATAATTGCAAACTGGGGGGTTATCGAGGTTATTATATCATGGAACAGAAAGGATTTATTCTTCAAGGTTATCGTGGGTGGTGAATGTGTGCTGTGTGCATCACGGGTGTTGGGGAGGAAAGGACTCAAATTGGGATGAGTTACAAGGTGAAGAGAAAAGGTTTGGATTCCCGTCCTGTCGTTTGGTTGGCTTCAGCTCTTTTGCGTTTTACGTAGGATTGATGCTCAGAGCACTCGCTCTTCAGGTTCCAGAACAACTGTGAATGGAGTGGTGATGTGAACCTGAGCATTCTAGAGATGCGATCCAGTGTGAAGGTCTGTTTTCGCAATACCTTTGCCCAGCTCAAACAGATATCGTGCCTCTTGGAAGATGCATTCTTGTTCTCCGCGGTGATTCCAATCCATGATATAAAAAGCAAACCCTGGCCGTAAATCGTTGCAGTTATATGACAAGCGTGGCCACTCGGCCCCCTTGAGCCCCACTGAGACGGACATAGGGTACAATCACAACGGTATGTGGTAAGCCGGGTGGTGACTTTTCTGTACCCCATTAAGGTCCGTTCCGGATGCTCAAGATGAAGCTGGTTCAAGGTTTGGGTCGTTACACTAAGGTTTATGAGGACCTCAATGGCTCAGGTTTTGTTTTCTTCGCAAAGGGAGTTCGGGTTGTTGAGAGATAAAATAAGAGTCATATCAGCTTGGTGATTCACTTGGTTGTCAACCCGGGTTTACAAGCACAAAGGGTTCGGATACCTGGCTAAGTGGGACGAAAGAAGATGGGAGAAAAGGTTGGGATCCTGGAAAGTGCTGAAGGTTTCCCGTTACCCCTGGTCAAGTGTTCGAGTCGCCACCAGATACCCTGTCCAGATATCAGTTCTTAATTTCCGTTAAGGGCTGAAAGTATGAGAGTAGACGATGTTTGTCGGCCGGCGGGCCAAGTGCTGTTAGTTGTGGTGAAGGGCGTGGTTTCGGAACCGGTGCCGAGATTGAGGCTCCGAGATGTCAACGGACGAAATTCCGGTGCGGTCTTGTGTTTCACGCCATCTGAACCCACGCCTTGGCGGTTGGCACGAACGACCGCCACTACCCAAACAAGCTGAAGGTTAGGTAGTAGGGCTATCGGCTGAAAGGTTTGAGGGCGCATCAGAGGGACACTCATCAACCTGAACATATCCACTTACCTTGTGGTCTCAGTGCAGTGTCGGTGCACATCACCATATGTAACCTGACTGATTGTCCGGCCATCGTTTGGATGTGTAAGCCACCCAACCAATCACAAACAACTCCCACCCTTCATCTCAATCCATGTTGTGTTTTCATTGGGCAATTGCTCCATTTGATCTCACGCGTCTGCATCGCGTTTGGTTGGCATCGGACGCGTTTCCAACTTCGTCCAACTTAGTGACACAGACGGTGAAGTGTCTTTGCCCGCTCGGCTCCCTTCGCACCCGACACCTTCCCGGCCTCCATGTCCTGCTCATTCTCGCCGGCCGAGATTAGATCTCCCCCTTGCCAACTCGACCCAGCTTTTCCGGTTGCTGTAGACTTCGATCGCAGCCAACACAAGCTGTGGTGCCAACCGTCTCGATCAACACCATCGGTCGATTTGGATGGTTGGCCATGGCTGACAAGATCAATCCCGCGGGCGACGTTACAGTTTGCTTGACATACCTGAGAGCTTGCTGAAGGTCAAGTCAAGTCAAGCTCCCCTTGTGACTGAAGTGTCTCATTCCCATGGTCCTCTTGACCCCCAGCTTCGGTCATGGATGGAGATAGTTCTGGTGCTTTGCGCTGCGAGAAGGAGACGGGTGCTCTGGAATGCGGTCCATCAAAGAACAAAGAAGCTGTAACAGCCCAAATATACTCAACCCGCGTCTAGCACTGAACTCCAAACTCGACGAACGAGTGGATGTTCGTCAAGGTGCTCAGAAGAGGAAGAGGTACCAAGGCACAAGCTGTGAGGTGACACTGAAAAGCGTTAGGTGGGGCACATCTGCGGATTTGGTACTTTTCATTGGTAAAAATGAGCTTTCAGAGCATGGCGCTCCCTTGCTCGCCCATCATGTGGCCCGCTCGCGACCCACTTCTATGACTGCAGGCCAACGGGCATGTCCCCTGTGCACCCTGACGGCACTCGGGGAGTCTTATTAGGCGCATTATTCCTCATCAGGACCTCTTCACTTCCTTCTGAGATCCCCATCGTCCCCATCTCACCTTCTCTACCTACAACCTAACAACAACCCTGAACGAGATTTTCTAACCTATCGCGGTGCCTCCTGCTTTCAGCCTCAACTTCCACTTTCGATCAGCTACGGAATCGAACCTCCCGCGCATAACAGAAGCTTCTTCCTTCTAGCAACACGAACATCAACAAACCCCTTTGCGCGCGCCGCTCATCGTTGCTTGTCGCAGGCACAAACCACCTCAACACTCGATCCCAGAACGATACGAGCGCGCTTGTGTACAATACTCCTCCTCTTACATTTTTGGGGGTTGGAGTTTTTCAAGACGCCTACACTATACCAAACATATCGTGACTCTTTGAAGACTGCGACCGGCACATTACCCAAGATGCTGTTACCTTCAGCCTTTGGCGGCGACTTGTCGCAACTTCCACAGACACGACCTCAGCAGGCTCTCTTCGTCTCACCTCCTGCCAGTCCTAAGCAGGCGCCTGCTTCCGCCGAGTTCAACAACCTCTTCACCACATCTCGGTCTCTGCAGTTTCTCATGACCTCCTCCGATCCATTTCTCGAGCACAGCGCCATGAGTGCACCGATCGCAACGCAACCACTTACTCCCCAAACGACATTCCATGGTCAACTACCCACCCCGCCCATGTCCCACGCGATGCCTCCAGTCAAGCTACGTTTGCGCGCAAGAAAAACCTCCGAGTCATACGGATCTAGGAATGCCAATCAGCCTTCCCAGCGCAAGCGAATCATTAAGCGGCCACCTCCGTTAAAGGAGCTCAACAGGCGCCACCGCCCATTTGACGAAAGGCGCGAGCGGGGAGGAAACAGCGAAGAAGACTCCGATCTATACCAAGATAGTGACGTGGACCAGCGCGGAAACCAGTCGCAACAAGGTCAGCAGCAACTGCAGCTGCAGCAACCACAACAACAAAGAGCAACGACACCTCTTGCACAAACCCACTTCCTCCCACCATTTGGCAACCGACCACAAACTCCCCCACGATCGCGCATAGCTCCCGAAGTCATCCCCCTAGGGCTCGACCGCTCAGATTATCACGCGCTGCGCGCCAACAACGCGAAGAATGAGCGCCAACAACCAGCTACCGCGCCAGGGACCGACGTAGTGGTAGAAGCCGACGGGGAGCCGTGGAGTTCCGAGGAAGATTGCATTCTAGTTGAGCTAGTGCTGGACAAGCTCAAGCTTACAAAAACCGATTGGCAAGATTGCGTGCGCAGCATGGGCAAAGATCGCAAAAGCGTCGGCACACGATGGAAAAGCTTGATGGTTAATGGAGATGTGGGTCTCAAATCCAAGAGCAATCGACAGGGCGGGATTCACGGGACTTGGCGTGGTTGAAATTCCCCTTGTTTATTTCGAGGTTTCATTTCCCACTCTGTCATATTCCTTGCCACTACTAATTTCTCGCCGTGGGGCCTGATATTGTCCACGTTGCTATTTTTGCTTGCACTACTACTATACTGTACTCATCAGCGTGGGAACTCAATAGGCGTCTAGGGAAATGAGGGCAGACATGCCATTGCGAGTGTATTACCTACACCATGGGATCGGGACCATTTACACGGGCATTTTCGGGAGTTGGAGGTTACATGTTTTCTTGCTGCCATATACAATCTTGCTTTGGAAAGGAAACTGGCTAGCGAGCGTTCATGGATGGGGCGTACACTACCATCTGACACCAGACAGATCGGCCACACGGACAGAAGATCTGTCTACTACTACTTTAGAGCTACTTGGATATATCATGGCTGGGGGATGTTCCTACGATGTTATTGTTCAACAGCAACTAAACAGCACGCAATTTACGTTGCTTTTTTTTCGCCCATATGACTATCACTTCATCCGCTTGTATCGTGCCTTCCCTTCATGTTGGCATCACTTATGTTTCACCAACAGGTTTCTCCGAGTTCAGATCTAGCTCGTCGTGGCTACTCAGCGGTTGTTGGTTTCGACCTGACCTGCCAATCTTCGAAACCGCTTCCGAATCGCAAGCAAGGGATGAAGTTGGTGGTACCGTACCTGGCTTGAGGCTGGATTCGCCAACCAACCACACAATGTACTCAAAAGCCCGGCGTTACCCTAGCGCCTGGAATGCACGTCATCTTGCTCCCTCTCTATTGATTCGTTTGTTTGTTTTCTCACCTTTCATATCAGAGGACCATCAACCGTCCGTTAAGCTAGCCGGATGGTTCAACTTCCCAGTAGTGTAGAATCTGGAGGCTTTCTGAATAAAGGAGCCCGTTCTTCCACTCACCAGCGACTAGACAAGGGTAGCAGATCTAGACCCCGCCAACCGCGGGAGAGAGATATGTGAGGACATCATGTCATATGCAAACACGGAGAATTCCTTTGATGGTGAACAGGACCCCTGAAGGAGAAGGTGAGTCAAGGCAAGGGAAGAGGACCAAGAAGAGGACTAACTGCCTATGTAACAGGTGTCCTTGAGAGGGTCTGAAGGGAAGATCCATTGTGCGCCATGTCAGGATTCGGAAATCCAAACATACACCAAGGCAGGACAAGGAACATCTCCTTCTCCCTTGGTTTTTCTCCCTGTCTGTGGACAATCGTATAGGTACTTTCCTTGAAATTCAACAGAGGCGGTACGAATGCCCGTTTGAAGAGGAAGAAGAGAAACCTGTTGAGATAACAACTCTGTGAAGACAGCAATCTACACAGACAAACCCCATGAGCAGAGGCGATCGAAGTTGGACAAAAAAGGGAAAAGGAAAGAGTAGACACTCCCTTTGTCCATCCCCTCCCTTGTCTTTCTTGTCTCTCGCTTATCGGATATCTCTTCGATTTAACTGTTTGGTTTCCTTCCCTTTACCTTCCTACAGACCGGGTTTCACGTCTCGCTCTCCACGCTACCAAGTTGACGGGGTAGCCTGACCCTGGCTGTTTCTGACTTGCGTTGTTTCTTGGTGAGACATCCAGAAACCCCTCGGGCTGAACCATGGTCTCGCAATGGACAATAAGATCCGTGGTAATGATGTAATGCCTCCCTGAGGTGTCCTGTTTGGTATCTAGTGACTGTTCATCAGGCTCTGTTAGTTCACTCAAACATTTTGCGCCAGTTGCTGAGCATTATGCGGAAAGGAACGCAGGTACTACCTCCGGGAAATCTTATTTTACATGTGATATGACCCTTTGTGATTGATGCATGACGGGTATTTACTTACGTTGCTTCCATTAATATTTTTTTATGTTCATGTAATCGGAGGAAGTTAACCACTCCTCGACCACGACAAGATCAATACTCCGATAAAATTACAGTGATGGCGCAAGATGGTAGAACATGTCAAGCAAATTGAAGCTGGAGCAGTGATCACCTTCTAACCCCATCGCAGATGCCCCTTCACATGTCTCCCACCTCGCATCAACCAACAACCTCCAACAACAAAACAACCAATCCAGATTTCCCAACCCCGTTGCAAAACCCCAAACCCAAGGACAAAATCGCAAAACTTGCATCCCCAACATCCTCAACTACTCCCAGTACAGTAAAAAAATACAAAAAGCTCAGTCGCCCAGTGAGGCTTGGTCAGACCGAACCGACACTGCTCCAGCTGCAGACCTACGAAAACCGTACCACGGAATACCGCGCACCTGCCCGGTTTTTATCAACGGGACCGGCACATAGAACCGCTGCGCCATATAGACGCAGAACTTGGACCCGTTGTGGTAGAGGGGCTAGGGAACGGACCTTATGCCCACTGGTGCCTGCTGCTGCCTGCTGCTGCCTGGGCCCGGGCTAGTTTGGGAAGGCGCGACGCGGGACGGGTGTCCCGTCTGTCTCGTCGTCTGATTTTCGAGAAGGAAGTGCCGGCCGGCTGAATCGCGGCGGCGGTGGCGGGTGCGGTGGTAGATTTGTAGTACCGTACTGCGCAGGTTTACACAGTAATTGCCGTGGGCTTGTGAGCGAACGCTTGGGATATGGTCAATGACTCACCATACCCCATATCAGCTACGTGTATCAGGTAATTATCTACGAGAGCGCACGAAGCATGCGTATCCAGCTCGTGTTGCTTATCTAATATATAACCTACAATGGTGCCTGAATCTTCAACCTCATTTGCCATGTCGGACTTTGTTGGTTTTTGAGGGATTGCTAAGCTTTGTTGCAAATGGAAGTTGAAGAGCCGGGACAAGGGGGTTCTCTTCACTTGCATGCCCATGTGCTGGGAACATGAATATCACTATGATGGGGCCCATGACTGATTTTCGGTATGACTCACTCCTAGATCGTTGCTAACAGATAGAAAAAACGTTATTTAGGCGAGACAGCTCCTAGATACCTATATGATGCTTCTCACAATCTTTCCAGTGGGATGGTCAACTGGCGGCGCAAACTAACCTCCACTACGAGAACAATATCCCAGTAACACCAGATCAGACAGAACCACCCACCCTCTTAGGCAAAGAGAAAAAACCTATCAACCCCCATCTCATCACCCCTTTTCTTCGAACGCCCTTTCTCTCACGTCATACTCAGGGCCTCGTCCTCAACCAAACAGCAATGTCACCCACAGCCCCAACCACAGCCCAACCAACGATTCAAATCCTCCCCGGCTACCGCCCCGGAATCCTAGGCCGCACACTCGAGATGCACATGGATTTCTACTCCTCCTTCGCCGGATGGGGTCCCTCCTCCGAAGCCGGGATCGCCTCTGGCCTTGTCCCGTTCCTTAAACGGTTGGGCGGCGACGACGTCGCCAAGGGCCCTCAGAAATCCAACAACAAAGAGGGGCAGGAGGATGCCGTTGCCACCACTGATGGTGGTGAGGTCGTGATGAAACTGCCGCATGGGAGAAGCCAAGTATGGTCCGCCGTTCAAGTTCGAGAAGACCAAGAAAACCAAAAAGATCGGATAGTAGGCGTCGTTTACGTCGATGGCGATTTCTACCGCTCTGGTGAGCGTAAAGAGGAGGGAGGGGAAGAGGTGTGTCGGCTTCGGTTTTATATTGTTGATGAGGAAGCTCGTGGGCTGGGCGTTGGAGGGAAGCTTTTTGCCGCGGCGATGGGGTTTGTGAGGGATGCGGGGTTCCGAGAGTGCAGGTTGTCGACGTGGAGGCAGTTGGAAACGGCGAGAAGGTTGTATGAGCGTGAGGGCTTCGTGGTGGCGGAGGAGGAGATTCAGGAGTATACCAGGGAGGATGATGGGAGGCAGCAGGTTCTTCAGTGGATGAACTATGTTTGGCGGAGGGATTCTGGTGATTCGGAGAAAAGGCGGGCGGACATCGGGACAGAAGCGGTCGTTCATTGAGACTGATGTCTTTGTGTTCTCCTCGGTGGTGTCGTGGTGTTGTGTGCTCTCGTAGCATTATAATAGTCCTGACCAGAAATTTCGAGAGGCTGACACATGAGATGCACAAGAATCTCAATATCCGAACGATACCCTCATAGAAGGACGGAATAGGCACATCCTCTTTCGCTCCACGTGCCTGGATAGCCCGAGACAACTCCTCATGTCCAGTAGACCTTTGCCAACACCCAGTTCAACGCCCACCAAGCTCCCCATGTCGCAACCATGCCCCCAAGCACAAGACCCGTAATCACAATACGCCGCATCTGAAAGGCATCGTCGGCTTCCATAGCCATGAGTTTCCGCTGCTTGCTGTGATAATAGCCGTCCTTGTCCTCGACCGGCTTGCCGTTCTCGTCAACAGCAGTGTACTGGTATGGCCGATACTTGTACACTATGCGATGAAGCCATGGAGGTAGCCTGCTAGGCCGTCTTTCGGCGTGATAGTGAGAGCGGTGCATGGAGTACTTGAGGTCCACGATGGCCAGCGATAGGAGGAAAGATACGAATATGACCGGGGTCATGACCACCTGGAGGTTCATGTTAGTTGATTTGATATGGACAGTAGTCATGGGGTCACCCGGCACTCACCTTGTAGAACGTGGACTGGCCGCTGGTATCGGGCTTCGCATCGCCCCGATTGCCGCTGACAGGCACTGGCGGGTTGGACATGGTGTATGGAATGCCGGATGCAGGTTGAAAGGAATTATACCGTGTATGTATGCCGGTTGTCTCGGTTGCAAGCTTTGAAGCTTGATGACACAGCTTGGAAGCAGGTCAAGATGTGAAGATGTAGGTACCCGTGCTTGACAACGGCTTCTCCGGCGAAATGTTCTGGATGAGGATGGGATTAAGATTCTGTGGTAAGCTAGCGAGTCGTATGTGGAGTTGATGCTGAGTTTTCGCAGATGATAAAAACTGGAAGGTGGGAGACGCCGAGCTTTATAAAGGTTGATGCTGACGTTACTTATGTGTTGGTTGTTGTGGTGTAAATACTTTATACTGCACAGTTTGCTAGCGAATCAGTTTCCTTGCTTCGATACAGATGACACCAAACTGCCACCCATCAACGAGCATTCAGGTCTACGACTTTCCCACGTACCTATTGACGCAAATATGATAATGATCACTGCAAGCAGGTATATACGTTTTTGCCAGGTAGATATTCGATGCAAACCAAAAATTACTTAGGACTGAAGAAGCAATGGAATGGGAGACCGGTGCAATTTATGCTTGGCATGTCCGGGTCTGATCGGCCTCAACCGAGAGATCCCGGCACCCCCGGGGACCGGATCATTGGGAAGGGAACGGATGGGCGTCGAACGTTGTGGGTGGGCGAAATCAACGTCACAGGTGCCATTTTCAAAATGCCGTCATTCAGAAGGAGGATACAGTCAAATTCATTCATCTTTCATTCGTAGGGGTAGCTAACGAAACCAACGCCGCTTCCCTGTTTTTACTTGCTTGCTGATTATGTGCATTTAGGGGAGGGCAATACACTCAATCTCAACATCGACACCCTTGGGGAGCTGGTGAACAGCAACGCAGCTGCGAGCAGGCTTGTGGGTGAACCACTTGGAGTACTCCTCGTTCATGGCCTGAAGAGCGGTTAGTATATATTATATAGTCAAATCGATCACTCAACACTTACAGCAAAGTTGCTCATGTCAGTAAGGAAGGCGTTGACCTTGACGACCTTCTCGATGGAGGAGCCAGCGGCCTCGAGGACAGCGCTGAGGTTCTTGATGCAGGCAGCGGTCTTCTCCTGGATGGTGCCCTCGACGAGGTTGCCCTCAGAGTCGCAGGGGATTTGGCCAGAGCAGTAGATGGCAGTAGGGGTCTTGATGGCGTGAGAGTAAGGGCCAGCAGCTAGATAGAGTTCAAGACAGGTTAGTCATGACTGAACCGGCCGGTGGTGAGTCTTAGTATAGCTTGGAGCACGTACGAGGAGCGGCGTCCTTGGAGAAGACGGGAGTGGCAGACATGGTGACTGTGCGGTAGATGTTCTGAACGGAACTGGTTGTTCTGAAGATGGCGGCCGAAGAGTTGGATGGTGAAAAGATCACTCTGGAAGCACGTCTGGCAGCAATGGCAAACATCAGGTCAGTTGAGATGGAAAAACAATTTGTGGGTCACGGTCACGGCTGCTACACCAATGCACTATTCGTCTCAGCTACAAGTGCATATTCATTGACACTGTGGATGCAGAGTCCAGTCATTCCTACCGAACGATAAAATGTTGTTACAAAATGGACCTCAACACCTCCGTTCTTCGGACTCCCTCAGTATCGATTCTCAAGGGGTTCGCGGGGCACCAACCCCGCATTCCGTCGCCGGTTAGCAGAGGCCTTGTACCTGGTACATGTACTTGGGCCGGGCCGTAGAGGTCCATGCTGGAACAAAGAGTGTCGCGCCGAAATGAGTCCAACACCTTCGGTCATTGCTTCCGCTGTCAAGCTGTGGAAGCTAAGGAGCTTGGACCATCCTCCAATTTCCGGGGAACAGCTTGAGATGAGGACTGAAGCGTCTCCAAAAACAGCCAACCCCTGTGCCGCATGTGGGTCCACCGCTGCCCGCCTTTACGAATTGAGATTGGATTGAAGTCGCGCTGTCACGGTTGCTGGCCGGGAACCTGGAAAGCTGCCACTTTTACCTCCTTACGCCTACGTACCTCAACCTGCTGCACCTCACGCTCCCGCAACCCTGCTCCTCTGCCCTCGAGCCTCTTCCCTCTCACCCTCTCTGCCTTGCAGCCCCTGTCCACCCGTCTCGAGACGATCCAGCTGTCCGTTTCATTGGATCCCGTCGTAGGGCCACCTTGTTCTCTGCAAATGCAACTTCCACCTTCCACCGTCTCTCGCGTCCCGTGGTTTAAGACGTCTCTTGCTGTCGGTGCGGCCGAAGTTCTCTTCTGTATTCCCGTCAGCGACATTTTGAAAAAGACCTATTACAGGCTAACGGGCCGGTTCAATCCCGCACGCTTAACCGCCCAAGAGTACGGGAGTCTTGCTCTTGCCGGTACGTCACGAGTCTCCAGTCCACCCATCTTCGTCTTTCTAGCAACTAACACCGTCATAATCAATTGTCGAATAGGCCTCTGCTGAGTCCATAACCACTTTGACCGGCCGCCATGGCCTCCACAACAGCAATCCCCGAGGCTACTCTACGCCAGAGGAACGTGCCAGCCTTGACCAAGAAAGCCAAGAATGGCATTTCCTCTGATGTCGAGATCGACAAAGTTCCGAATGCCGTCGCTCCCGCCAAATCCGGCTCCGAACTCGAATACAAACTTGCCCTAGGCCTCATCACCGGCTTGGCTTTCCTTACCAGATTCTGGGGCATCAGCCATCCCGATGAGGTCGTTTTCGATGAAGTCCATTTTGGAAAGGTAGGTACCTTGATAACCCGAGCGAACCATATATCTATTCATTGGCCATGGCTGACATGTGCCGCCACACAGTTCGCGTCCTACTACCTCGAGAGAACATACTTCTTCGATGTCCACCCTCCTTTTGGCAAGCTTCTCTTTGCCTTCATGGGCTGGTTGGTCGGCTATGATGGCCACTTCCACTTCGAGAACATTGGCGATTCCTACATCCGCAACAAGGTCCCTTATGTTGCTTTCCGCTCTCTGCCCGCCATTCTCGGTGCCCTCACCGTCTCGGTTGTCTACATGATCATGTGGGAGTCAGGCTACAGCCTTCCTGCCTGCCTGATTGCCGCCGGTCTTGTCCTCCTTGACAACGCCCACATTGGCCAGACGCGCCTGATCCTCCTCGATGCCACCCTTGTCTTTGCCATGGCGTGCAGCTTGCTCTGCTACATCAAGTTCCATAAGCTCAGGCATGAGCCCTTCTCCAGGAAGTGGTGGAAGTGGCTTATCCTGACTGGCTTCGCCCTTTCTTGCGATATCTCTACCAAGTATGTCGGCCTCTTCGCCTTTATCACCATTGGCTCTGCCGTCTGCATCGACTTGTGGGATCTTTTGGACATCAAGCGTCCCGGTGGCGCTCTGACTCTGCCCCAGTTTGGCAAGCACTTCGCTGCTAGGGCTTTCGGTCTGATCATCATGCCCTTCATCTTCTACCTCTTCTGGTTCCAGGTTCATTTCTCGATCCTTACTCGTTCTGGACCTGGCGATGACTTCATGACTCCTGAGTTCCAGGAGACCCTCAGTGATAACATTATGCTCGCCAACGCTGTCACCATTGATTACTATGACACCATCAGCCTCAGGCACAAGGAGACCAAAGCCTACCTTCACAGCCACCCGGACAAGTACCCGCTGAGGTACGACGATGGTCGTGTTTCTAGCCAGGGTCAGCAGGTGACTGGCTATCCCTTCAACGATACCAACAACTACTGGCAGATCCTCCCCCCTGGCCCGGACGATCAGAAGCTCGATCACCACATCAAGAACCATGATCTCGTCAGACTCCGCCATATCGTCACGGATACCATCCTGCTCTCACACGACGTTGCTTCTCCTTACTATCCTACCAACCAGGAATTCACCACTGTTTCCATTGGAGATGCCTACGGTGACCGCGCGGCTGACACTCTTTTTGAGATCCGTATCGAGCATGGAAAGGCCAACCAGGAATTCAAAAGTATCTCCAGCCACTTCAAGCTGATCCACAACCCAAGCAAGGTTGCCATGTGGACTCACTCGAAGCCACTTCCGGAATGGGGTCATAAGCAGCAGGAGATCAATGGCAACAAGCAACTGGCACAGAGCTCCAACGTCTGGCTTGTTGAGGACATCGTATCCCTCCCCGCGGACCATCCGCGTCGCGCGAAGCCTGAGAAAAAGGTCAAGACCCTGCCCTTCCTGCGCAAGTGGTTCGAGCTGCAGCGGTCCATGTTCTGGCACAACAACCAGCTCACAAGCAGCCATCCTTATGCCTCTCTGCCGTACCAGTGGCCTTTCCTGTTGCGCGGTGTGAGCTTCTGGACACAGAACGAAACGCGCCAGCAGATCTACTTCCTTGGTAACCCCATTGGCTGGTGGCTTGCTAGCAGTGTTCTGGCTATCTATGTTGGCATTGTTCTGGCTGATCAGTTCTCGCTCCGCCGTGGACTTGATGCTATGGATCGCCGTAAGTAACCCTCGCAATCTTGAATAACGGCGATGAGAAACACAGAGCTAATCAATACATTCTAGGTACCCGTTCTCGCCTGTACAACTCGACAGGCTTCTTCTTCCTCGCCTGGGCAACTCACTACTTCCCCTTCTTCGTTATGGGCCGTCAACTCTTCTTGCATCATTACCTACCAGCTCATCTTGCCTCGGCACTCGTTACTGGCTCGGTTGTAGAGTTCCTCTTTAGCACCGACTCTGCCGAGCCTGATTACCACCCCAGCAAGTCGAGCAAGAAGGTCGCCCCTACTACCAAGCGTCGCTTGAGCGCCCGCGAGCGTCTTGCTGGCCAGAGCATGGCTGGCGCCTGGATCGCGACTGCGGTTATCATGGCCCTCGTCGCCTTTGGCTGGTACTACTTCTTGCCATTGACCTACGGATATCCTGGTTTGACCGCTCCCGAGGTCAATCGGAGGAAGTGGTTGGGCTATGACCTTCACTTCGCCAAGTAGATCCGTCGTCACTTGACGAACCCTTGAAAAGGTGTGTGCACAGGAGACTGTGAGTGTACAGTAGAGTTATGTTTCAGTGTGTAGAAAGGTAAAAAGGGGGAAGTGGTATGGTGGCGTGTAGGCGTTTCCAATCAATCTAAGCACATCAAGGTGCGGACGAACAAGGCATGCAAGTTACAAAGCGAGGATTGATCTTAAACTCAAGTTACTTTCCTACGTCTTATACGGATTTAGAGCCATTCTCGTCATAGACCAAAATCAAATCTGATTACCGCTAGAACATGATTCTTTTAGATGCCTCGCTGATTGCCGCAACCTTGAAATGCGGATGTACTTTGGGGACAAGATCATTTCAACACTTCGCGAATCATGGGCTTGGAAAATGTGCATGTATCGAGATCATCTTTATTCTCAAGTATTAAATCATTCTGTAACTGTGTCCGGCACCGCAGCAATTTGAATGCCGAAACGCGACAATGCCCCAGATTTATCGTCCATCACATCATCCACAACCATTAACTCGTAGGGGAATGAACGTGTCAACAACCTATCTCTGAAAGCAAAGTTAGCTTGAAAGTCCCACAAACAGATAAATTCGGCAAAATTGCTCAAAGTCGTGTAAATGTGTTTGTTTGTATACTTCAGAAACCCAGTTTATAAGCACCACCAACCCCACCAGCCAAACACTACCCCCCATCCTCCAGATACCCGCCAGCATATGACGATGCAGGCGTTTTCCCCGAAGAGAAGCGGCTTTCTGGGACAAGCTTAGGTAGAGGGCCAGCCGAAGAGGTCCCATCCCTGTTACAGGACTAGATCCGAGGAGGTTCATACGGCTCTTCCTATTACAATATTATGGAGGGTTGCAGCGCGAACTGCGAAAATCATCATGGTATACGGGGTGGGATGTTGGATGGGATGTGGGGGATGGAAAGAAGGGGAATAAGAGAGTAGTAGGGAACGTACCACTTGAGATGCTGGTAGAGGGGGAAGTCGGTTCGTGATGGGTCGGGTTGAGTCGGGTATCTGACAGGAGAGGCAGAGAGAGGGGGAGCAGAAGAATGACGCGACGAGGACGTGGAGAAAGGGCCGAGTAACAGCTGCGCCCGCTGAACTGAGCAGGCTCTTGCGAGCAGGCCACGTCAGCGAGTAGCGAGCAAACATGCCAATTCCGTTCGTCGGTCATCCGTCCGTCATCTCTGCTTCCTGGTTCTCCTCTCCATCAGGTCCAACTCGATCCGACCCGACCGACCGACCGACTTCCCGAGCGCGATGGTTTTAATCCAGAAAGGACAAAACCACCCGCATCCAACAAAAATAAAAACGCTCAGATCATTCCGTCGGTTCGAGCGAGCTCTTAAGACGTTGGTCGTTGCGTAGCGAGGAACAAAATCGTGGCGCGGCGCGGCGCGGCGCTGAATTGTCGTGAAAAGGCTCGTTCAGTTCACCAGCCAGCAGCAAAAGATGTGTGGAGGAGAAAAAGTTTTGGATCAGAGGAGCCGAGGAGGTGCAAAAGTGGCTCCTGCTCTAGGCTGAGAAAAGACCCCACCATAAGTTGCAAGGACTGGAGCTCATTTGCACGGACCATGTCGGCCGAACTTTAGTGGAGTTCTACCGGTGAGTGGAACACGGATTACGGCGCCAATGACCATCGGTCCGGCTGAGTGAACAGGGGCCTGAGCAGGCGTGTAGGCATCAACTTGCTGTCATCTCGCAGTGAAATTCAAGTACGGAGAGAAAGCTGAAATTAGCAACCTCAACAACCAAAGGCATGTCACATGGAGTCAATACAGGTCGTGAGAAGAGCAACGCATTTGGATTATCGATAACTACGGAAGAGACTGTGATACTAGAAGTGCAGTTCGTGGTCGGATACCACCATACCATGTGTTTATTCCAACCTTGAGCAATCCTAGCTACTGACCTCAGCACGCACCACGATTTCAACCATCTGGGAATGTATGTGAAGTGGGAAGGAGGGACTGTTTTCGCCTAGGTACCTAAATACAATAACATCGTAACAGCCAAACACACCTCTCTGCCCTTCCTCCGCAAATGCGTCTTTGCATCTGCCACCTTGGAATGCCTCTTGATCGTAGGCTCGCATTCATTACATCATAATATAACAGGAGGATATCAAGTCCTTAAATCGCTAAACCCCATTCAAACCCGCTGATAAATCAAATCCCATCCCTCCTCCAGTAATTCATTGAGTAGAATTGACTGACATACCATTCTTCTACATCTTCATTTTTGGCATCGGCAGTGCATCCAAGTTTCCAACCGGTACTCTGTGGGTGGTTCAAGGAGCATCCGGGTCCACTCGCACGCATAGAGCCTCATTGCACAGTGAATTACGGTTCCCCATCATGTCTGACCTAGAAATAGCCATTCATGTCGTGCGAAGTCCAGTCACCTTGATAAGCGTGCAAGATGTCCTGAGACGATGGCTGAGAATAGCCAGCAGCCAAGCTCGGGATGTCCACGTTCGCGAAGAGCGATTCAGTGAATGTGGGTTTTGAGTAGGCGCCGGTGGTGGGAGGATACAAGATGAAGTCGCCAGGGACATTATTGCAGTTACCCATGGAGAAATCTTGATCATCAAAGCCCTCATCAATCTCGCCCAATGAGGTAGGGGGCGTGAAGAGCATCGTGTTTCCTTGTCCAATAGGAGAAATATGGGCAGGATGCGACTGGCAAAGCTCAGGTGCGGTGTACGCGCCGAGATGCTGTCCCATGTCTTTGGGATAGAAGGGAGAGATGACTTGGTTGGGCAGTTGCATAGTCGCGCCGTAGATGTCATCAATGAGCGTGAACTCGTTGAGGTCTTGATAAGCGGAATTGTGGTCCATGCCAGCATCCGTTAATGGAGTACCATTGTCAATGGGTGAATAGTCAAGCTCAAGCTGCTGTGGGATGGTGTTGAAGTTGAACTCCGGAGCATATGAAGGGAACTCAATGCTGGTCTGGTACAGCCCAGCGTTCCAATCATCAGAGGGAGTGGCGATGCTCATACTGCGGTCGCTCGAAGGGGTACCAATGTTCTGGAGCTGAGGAGTGGGATGGCCGGAATCGGGCCCCAAGCTGGGAAGAGTGCTGGGTTTTTTACCATTGGTTTTGGTCCTAACGTACGTCCAGCCATGGGCCTTTTCCATGTGCTGTTTGCAGTTGGACTCGCGCTTGGACTTGTAAGGGCAAGGCTTGAAGAGACACTCATACATAGGTGGGGCCGAGGAGTGCTTGTCGTTGTGGTGACGATCCATTTCCTTCTCGGTTGGCCAGCCGTACTCATGGTACTTGCATGTCTTGACCGGGCACTTCCATGGTCTCGAATGTGTCTTCTCGTGCTTGGTCAGATCGCAAGGACGCTTGAACTCCTTGTTGCAACCAGGCTCGCGGCACCTCTTCGGCGCCAGCTCCTCAGGGCTGGCGTTCTTCTTCCGGCGAGCCATGGAACGCATAACCTCCTCTTCATCGAGAGCCTCCTCACTTTGGGAGCGCTTGAAGTTGACCGGGCTTTCCGGTGCCTTCTCACAAAGGTCCACGGGCAATCCAGTGGCCAGGGAGATGGCCTGTCCGTTCTTCTTCACGCGAACCAGTTCCGAAAGCCTGCCGTTGATGTGAGGGCCACCGTGAATCTTGATTTGATCAGTGCTAAAGTAAATGTCAGCGCAAGCCACACAGTTGCAAGAGAAGAGAGAGTCGTACGGATCAACCTCCATGCCATTGGCGCCATCCTTGGTCTTGTTGCTTTCCGCAATCTGACGAGCATAGTTGTAGAATTGGTCGACGAGATCAACAAAATATCCATTGGTGTAGGGGAGATCGCGAGGGCGAGTCAGTTCGCGGTCGCCAAGGTGCTGGACGGTAGCCTGGAGGCAGTCGATTGTCGTGAGACAGAAATCGAGGTATGAGCCTGCAGCTTTGGTCCTCTCCTTTAAAAGTAGCGCACGGTAAGTAGTCATCCTAACGTCCAGTGGATCAACAGTTTCGCTTACCGGAGCCACAAGAATCAAAGTCTTCTCAAGATCTCTTAGGCACAAAATCTCCTTATCCTGAATCTTCTTGGGGCACTCGAGCACGAGCGAGTGGAACTCCTTCAGAGCCGGCTTTGCAAGTAGAGGCTTTAAGACGTATTCGACGATGCGGTTGGTAGCACGGTCACTAAGGCCGGGAAGATTGAGTGCCGATGCTGAGCGAGCGGCAGCGGACCTGGTGACAGCCGAAGTCCTGGTGGTCTTGGCCTTGCAAGAGGCATCCTTCTCGGAAGTAGAAGCAATCGAGCTTCCAAGACCGCTGTCGGAATCGTGGTGCCGAGATGAGCGGCGTGTGCGTGGACGGAGCATCCGGCGCTCGTTCTCGGCCTCCTGGGGCATGATGGGTGAATCCAGGTTTCTTTGAAGGAGCCCACGAGGCGGAGGAATGCATTCGCCACTTTGCTTAGCCGAGACAAAGGTGTCGTTCGAAGAGGCCAACTGTCTCGTGATGGCGTCCAAAGTTAGGGCAACACGGCGGCAGCGGGAGTCGATAACATCGTCCAAGTTGGTGTGAGAGCGGCGAGGGAGCGACGGCGGGACGAAGACCCGCTCGGAAGAGTCCCCAGAGGCGGGAGAGTTGGGAGAGTGGAAGGTAGCACCCTTTTGTAGAAGCACGTTGGTCTTGAGGGTCAGGCCACCCGCTGGTCTCCTGCGAGGGTTCGACATGATTGCTGTGTTGTGTGGAGTTGATGGGCTATGTTGCCGACTGTTTTCTCTGGTCAGTCCATGAGCTCTCGAAGGCTTGCAAGGTAAAGAATGGACGTGGGAGACCGAGAACGTCGAGTGAGTCACAGGGAGTGGAAGTATGCTTCACCGGAGGTATCACAACGATATCCCACACTCTGCTTGCCCCCTATCAAGACGAGGCAGGACAGGATTGGCCAAGGATTGTGGAGGTGGGTGTCGGGGGAGGGGGGGGATAGTCGCCAGCAGGCGAAAAGGTTATATCTTACTTTGATGTGATAGCACGAGCCGACAAATACCTGGCAGCTCGGCGACTTTGACCGAAGTCTGGGATATCTTGGAATAGCGGACGTCAAGGCTTTGTTGTCAGGTTAAGGCGCCGTCGATAGGATCACGATAGCAGGCGATGGAGGCGACGATCCGAAGAGGAGAAAGATGGATCCTGGGGAAAGTTGTGGTAGCGTAGAGATAGTGGGATTGGAAAGAAACCTAGAAAGGTTGGGTATCGGGTTGGTATTCAGGCTTTGGTATCAATAGCAGGCTGTGTTTGCTGTACTTGGCTAACAAGTCGGGGTATGTCGTTCAAACTGTGCTGAATGGAGACAATAGCACTGATCAAGTCCAGTCCGAATGACCTGGGCAAGAAACACTAGACGAGATCAACAGGCAGGAAAGAGAGGGAACGGGATGAAAGGGGGACGCTGTGGTGGGATTGCCAGGGAGGAAAAGGGATCGCGGACGGGGACGAGACGGACGGTCACGGAGTTCGAAGCTGGGGAGAGGATGGGTGATGAGAAATGGAGAATGGAGCGAGGCCGAACGTTGCTGCCTGCTGACAGACCGGGGTTCGTGTGGGTCAAGCGGCGCAGCTCCACGTTAGCGTCCCCGCCATTGGATGGAAGTGGTTGAAGCGCGGATCCTTCCTTCTTGCCCACGCCAGCGCCTGTGCTTGGGCTTGGACGTGTTCACGGTGCCAATGCCACACTCGATCTCTTTTTATGGCAGCCCCGTCTGTCACTCTATGAGTGTCTCCCTCGTCCCGCCATGTTTTACCATTGGTTTTCAGTTCCCAGAGGCTGTTGTTTGCTGCGGCATTGATCATGATGTGTGATGCCGGTTAGGCGATGTTAAAGCGAGACATTGACAGCTTGTACCCGCCGTGCTTACTCTGCCGGCCAGCAGCCAATCGCATTCAGCCAAACATCTCAGCTCCACCGCAGTGTGTCCCTTGATTCCCCGATGACCAACCCAAAAACCCATGTCAGCCCTGTCTGGATGCACCTTATTTCGGGACCACAGCGAGTCTTCCGGAAGTCTTTGACTAGCAAACCCAATCTCCGCAACGAGGACTTTTCGCAGGGCTATCCCAAGAACTGGGAAAATCAGCATGGTAAGCATGGGGATGATACCAACGGTGAGCACTTCATTCGCGTCTTCACACCTCAACTTCCAGTCAAGAACAGCCAAGATCCCTTGTACGCAGTCAACTTCTTTGTCTGTTGCCCGTTCGTCATTCTCCGTTTCCCGTTTACCGGGGATGCGTAGGAGTTGACGACAAACGCTCAAAGGAAACCAGAAGATCCCTCCCGAACACGCAAATCAGAAATAGGACGCTGTTGCTTGGGGTCACCATCCGACCTCGAGCCGACCTCTGGAAACGCAGGACGACCTGGACGTATGGCAGACGATTTGCGGCTTTGGGATGTTCGTTCGTGACGTGGAAGTCTGGGTATCCCTTTCCTCCCCACGGCCACTTGTCCACTGCGTTTCCTATGAGGCCATAACCCATACATATTCTCTCAATCGAGGGAAAGGTGAAGGCGGCGCAGGACATGGCCACAATCAGAGCTGCAACAGTGACCTCTTCAGTGGGTTTCAGCCATGTTCTGGCGACTCCAGTCCTATAAAACATCCAGAGGACAGCTCATCTCGACAAGTGTCGGGTTGTGAGAATGCGCAGCACGTGCGGGGCGCCTCAACATCGTGGTGTAACATCGCGAGTATCTTGCTGGTCAAACCCCAGGCGCTGAGCCACCGCGGTGGGCAGGCATGAAAGTCGGCGTCCCAAATAGGATACTCGCCCCTGTGAGAAGTTCCGAGTCTGATTTGCTGACGGTCCAAAACAGCCAATCATTGAGCATACCTGCGCAATATGGTCTCATGTAAATCGGCCCCGGTAGAACTTTGCATATCGAGAACGCTAAACAGACAGGGGAGGAACTGGGCCCCCAATCTGAGCCGCTGCGTCGCGAAACCTTTGCCCCAGCCTGAGGACGGTTTGGACGGGCCTGAGGAGGAAAATGAAGGGGACAGGTCGGGCATTGACTCACAGGCGATCATTGTCGTACATACTGCTGCCCAGTCCTAGTCCGTCATTGTTGTTGCTGCTATGGGCCTTCTTTGACAAACTGCTCTCTGTCTACTTTCAGAAACTATCTACGCCAACCCAAGGTGGTCAGTGTGTAGTCCCCTCCTCAGACTAGCCATCTTGAAAGTGCCCAGTGACGAACTGGTGGGCTAAAGCTTCCATCTTTGGGATGATCTGGAGGCGCACGCCGCGGCAAGCTATACCATGAAGCTTATTGGTCCAAGATAATGTGAGCGCAGGCTTCTCCCCCCGTTATTATCTCCTCCACCATGATGATGCCCCACTCAACACCCTTCAGCCCTACGGACTGTCGTCGAGTTAGACTTCACGACGACATTGTAAGACATCAAGGCCCTGTCACCCGGTCTTCCTACGTACATTACGTACCTACATCAGGACACATACACATTACAACCGCCCGGTCCAGTTCACAGGCATACGTATGCTATCATATGCACATATTTTCACCACTGACGAAGCCGCTTGCAGAGATTTAAGGGCATGCATATGTATTGACGAATGAGAGTATAGAAAAACTAGAAGCCTTGAGATATGCATTGTAGTTACCTAGATCCAACCCCCACCGCTTGCTACTACACGTGTAATCCACCGGCAAGTCTTCGATCTCGTCAACGGCAGATCGCGGTCTTAGCACTTGAGATGACCGGCTAACTCTAAATCACCCCTGCCTTTCATTAAGACCATTGGGTATCGGATGAAAAATAAACGTTTCACACATGGCGGCAACGGCGGGGGAGAAAACGGGACTCGTCATCCATTGACGTTGCAGGACATCTTATGATATAAACCTATTGTGGATATCCCGAAGAGCCGCTTGCTCGTTCTCGGCTCTAGACTGCCACTACGTGGATCAAACGACGACGCTTCAAACGGCCGGCTATAATCCAGGCAGCTATTTTTTTCTACGGCCGGAGGCAATCCTCACCAGGCTTGGACAGCGGAGAAAGGCACTCCTCATATGGGGGTGGAGAACTCGGCTCCCGAACCGTGGACACTGGCGAGATGGGGTATACCAACGGTACACTTCGGCCTGCTGGGATGACAAGGGAAAGCTTCGGGGGTGGTGGCCGACGTCGCGTCGGCGGTGAGCTCCGGAGCCTATCCTGCTTCGGCTCGTGAGATACCACCGAAGTTGGACGGCCCTTGACATATTTATTGAACTCTTCAGCAGGCAGTATTTGTAGTACTTCACCGTACAGCTGGTAAGAGCTTGCGCGCCTGGCCCTTCTACCACCATTCTTGTTGTTGTTGTTGTTGTTGTTTGGAATTTGTTGTTGTTGTTGTTGTTATTTTCTCGGTGTTTTTTCGGCGTTGTTTAAGCTGCTTCTGCTCCAAGACAGTCCAGCCGTAGCTCTTAGCTGCCAAAGTGGCCTTTTTCCGGGCCTCGGTCTCTAGTACCCAGTCGCGCAGCTGGCAGACCATGCATCGACTAGTTTTCATGTTCAGAGGGATCTCGCACAGCTTCTTCCAATGAGATGAGAGGAAGAAGAGGCGCCATCCCTTCGGTTCGTCAGTGTCTCGCCCTCGACGGCTGTCCTGTATCTCACGTTCTCTATGTTGATAGCAGGGGGCAGGACAAGTCCAGACCGCTAGAGTTCCTTGGATGGGGTTGTCCTGTGTGGCCTTGGTGAGTTTCATTCTCGCCTGAATGTTCGTAGGTGAAGGAAAAAGCAGGAGTTCGAGGTAGCGTGAGATGTCTGAAGTGATTGACGGTACTAAAGGACGAATATCACTTACAGGAATCTGTCAGCAGCTTTCCATACGAAGAATGTGGTTTGCTTTATAATCGCTCTTGACCATCTCTGTCAACAGATACCGATGACAAAGAAATCCGCTCGGATCAAAGACCCGTTCTTTGACGAAACACATTTTTAGAAGCGAACAATCACCTTGTTGTCGTTGGAAGAGTCGCCAGAACAAGAGAGTTGCTTCAAATCCTGAATCTGCGTTTATCTACTGTTCGAGCCGCATTACATGGTATCCGATGTTTCAGAGGTCTGAAGGCAGTCCGGCAGCCTCTTTTATTCTCTATGACATTTCACCACCTCTGTTCTCCATCAAATATACAGCCCTTACTAGGCATAAGACAATGAAGCTACTGGTAGCTCAGAGGCTATGCTCAACATAAACGTACGTAATTGTAACCGACTACTAAGAATAAATAACAAAAACACATCCGCAAAAAGTCCTTTGCGTACAGCACTCTTATCAGTCCCATCGACAAATTTCCACTCGAAGAGCCATCAACAGGACCCAGTACATCACAGAGTGAATGGGGAAAACGACAACTACAGCTTACGGGGCACCCATTCAAAGATATTTATTATGGGGTGCACGTCGGTGCCTAACTCCCGCCGCGTTGGGCGTGTAGCTGGGAAAAGACGCCCAGGGCAACCCAGAACAAGTGAGAAAATATGTCCAAGCGAGCCACCGATTTTCTTATCGCCGTTTCCCACCAAATTTGATGTTTTCCGTCATTGCAATATTCCTGATCCACTCAGGCGTCATCCTCCATTCACTGGGTCGAAGATACTCGAAGCACCCAAGGATTTTACAAAAGATCCGGAAATCGCTGAAGCCGAGCAGGCAACATATGAAGCATACTCCACCGCCTTCCACGCCAGTTATGATTCCAACAAGCAGACAGCAGAAAAAGATAACACAAGCGATTTGTCAGACTCACAGAGCTTCTCACTCTCCTCTTCATCAGCTTCTTCATCCTTTTCTCATCTTCCACCCCTGCCATCTTCCTCTTCCTCTTCTTCTTCTTCCTCCTCCATCACGCTCTCTTCACCATCTACACTTCACCCCCACTACCTCTCCCCAATCGGCCTTTCCATTCTACACCTCATCCGCACCCATCTCTGTCTGCCACCTGATCTTCCACCCTCGCACTTGATCGTCCATCTTATCAGACGATGGGAAAGGACCCGAGTCGCCGTAGCACAAAAGAATGCAGAGCTGGCCGCGCAAGCTAACGCATTGGACTGGAGTGGAGTGGAAGATGAAGAAGCGGTAGATTTTCTCGATTTGGACGAAAGGGATGTGTTGAATACGTGGGCGGAAGCTCAGAAGAATATGGAGAATAGGAAGTTGTGTCCGCTTTTTGGGGCTTGGGGTTATACGGAGAGTGCGAAGTATAGTAGGTAGCCAGGGCTGCAGAAGTCGGAGGACATGATTTAGGGGGAAGGGGATGCAGAACGAAAAGAGCGAAGGAGCTATAACGGCAAGCCACTAAGGATCTGGCGCAGGCCGGCATCTGTGATCAACACCCTCTTAGTATGTACCGAGATAATAGTGAGGTTCTCCATTATTTACACGGTAAACGGTTGTTCTCTCGGGCCCGAACCCGAAGACCGGACTCGGCCAGTCCGTTGTGACATCGGGAGTGAACCCGGAAAAGCGGGACTAGTTCTTTGCCAAGACCCGTTTGTGGAAGCCGCAATGTGGGGCCAACCGGGCGGGAAAGCTCCGGGCCCTCCCGTGTGGGGCTAAACACCCCACCTTCTCCTGTCATAACATCACCAGTGGGTCTTTAACTCGTACCTGCTTCTTGATTTCACGTCTTTGCGCGCTCTTGGCTCACTTTCCCATCGAGATGTAACACGAACTGGAAACTACGTCCTCCCGTATGCCTACACAATTGAGGACTACGGAAGGCGGTATGGACGGTAACACGGCAAGCGCGGTGCAGCACTGGCCGTCTCTCCGATCAGTGACCCTTTGATGCGCGCAGGGTGGCGATCTATTGGCAACAATGACCGGAGTCCATTCTCCGTGTCGTCATCGATGTTGACGGCCGTTCTCTTCCAGCAACAAGTCAATACGTCATATGCACAGGTAAAGTAAACAAAAGAAGCTGGAGCACCGACACGATGTGGTGTATAAAGAGTGAAAGCACATTAGTTGCATTGTTCTCGTTGATACATATCCTCCAAAAACCTGAGCTACTTCAACTCTCCTCAATCATTCACCGAAGAAACCAACCGAAAACACATTCAGCAAAACCACCAGAACATCTGCCAAAATGACTGACAAGGGACAATTCGAGAGTGGTGAGTTTCTTCCATGAGCATCAGCTTGATGCGTCTCATGTTGTTGCTACGGGCATGCTCTGACCTCTTCTTCTTCGACGGTAGGCCACAAGATTCCGGTCACTCATCAGAGCTTCCCCGGCAAGGAGACCGAGATGCCCAACCCGCAGCCTCTGTGGGATGAGATTCCTACCGCTGACGGCAAGAGCCAGAAGTACCGCGCTGCTGGCAAGCTGAAGGGCAAGAAGGCTCTCATCACCGGAGGCGACTCTGGCATTGGCCGTGCAAGCGCCATCCTCTTTGCTATGGAGGGAGCCGACTCGCTCATCGCTTATCTTCCCGAAGAGGAGGAGGATGCGCAGGAGACCAAGAGGAGAGTAGAGGCGTACGGTCAGAAGTGCTACTTGGTCTCTACGGATCTTCGCGACAGAGAGAACTGCAAGAAGTTGGTTGATGAGGCTGTCAAGGCATTCGGCGGCCAAATCGACATCCTCTTCAACAACGCCGCCTACCAGATGGTAGTCGATGACATCAAGGACCTTTCGGAAGACCAGTGGATCAACACCTTCAATACCAACATTCACCCCTACTTCTACCTGGCCAAGTACTCTCTGCCACACATGAAGCGCGGCAGCACTATTATCAACAACGCCAGCATCAATGCCTACGTCGGCCGTCCCGACCTTCTCGATTACACTTCCACCAAGGGCGCAATCGTGGCCTTCACTCGCGGCCTGAGCAATCAGCAGGCTGGAAAAGGCATCCGCGTCAACGCTGTTGCCCCTGGACCCGTTTGGACTCCTCTCATCCCATCGACCATGAAGGGGGAGAACCAGGAGCAGTTCGGATCCACCCCCTTGGGTCGTCCTGCTCAGCCAAGTGAGGTTGCCACTGCGGTAGTCTTCCTGGCCAGTGAAGACAGCAGTGCCTTCAGTGGACAAACACTGCATCCCAACATGGGAACCGTCGTCAGCGGCTAAGTCAAGGTCGTGGTCAGTCGAGAAAGGAAACTTCGGACGAGTCGACATTGCATTGTCATGGGCTCTCGGTCATGAGGAAGGGTGAAGAAGACAACCTGAATAGCACGGGACTTGGTCGTTTGAAGAAGGACAGACGGGATGAGAAAGGTATCGACATTCACAACGACACCTCTTGGGAGCATCGGTTTGATTCAACTAGCACCGGAGATCCACATCATCGACACATCCCCAAAAGATTCAATTGGTATTGCACTCGGATAGTGAAGGGTATTGATACTATCAATACACTCTGAGATAAATAAGTAGCATAGCCTGGCGTAATGAATTAGTTTATTAGTACCACCTGCTACCTCGGCCCTGTTCCTATAACACATGACAATCGATACCTCCACTGAATGCCCACAAATACCGATCATCAAAACTTCAGCATGCTGACTAGTTCCCCGCTCCCAGATGTGGTTAACATAGCAATACCCGTCTCAGTTGCACTCCTTACCGTTCCAACACTCAAGCACCTGCTGGCCAGAAAACGGGGTCTTTCAAGAGAATATGAGCTTGTTGGTGGAGATGTGGCCGATACAGCACACTATCAAGACCGGAATGGTGAAGCAACAGAGGCATCGACAAAGGCCTTAACGGATTCCCGTGCTAAAATCTCGCTTTGGTTAGGGGTGCTAATTAGTCTAGAGGCATCACTGACGATCGAACTAGTGAATCGCTTCGATTTTGGAACGCGCAGAGCGTTCTTGGTACAGGAATCAGATTGGGATACTCCCCCTTCGTGGACAGGGACAGTCATAACTGTATGTAGCCATTCCATACAGGCGTTAACGTTGTCATGTTGGATAATAGTCAAGAAGGTTAACTCTATGGCTTAGGGACTTTTGTTTTTACAGTGTGCTTTTCTTCCCCCCAGAAACCACTACCACATAAGGTTCCGTATGACGATACTCGGTTTGATCTCTTCACTGCTGGTTATAGGTTTACTGTCCTTCAACCATGGCTTTACAGTAATTAGCTTGCTCATCGGGAGGGATATGATGGGAAACAGGGCCTCAGCGAATCTCTACGGCATTCAAATTTTGGGGCTTCTGATTGCGGCAGTGGCCTTTGCTTCGTTTCCCCGACGTCCGGATATTTATCACAGGGAACAAGTTGTTGACCAGCAAAAAGCGGTGTCGCTCCTTTCTCTCCTGTCGTTCTCCTGGAACCTCAACATTTTCAATGCCGCAAAGGAGAGACAACTGGAAACCGCAGATCTGCCCAGGTTGGAGTTCATTACGCGCTCGGAAAACATCCAGCAAGATTTCACCGAACACAAGAAGCCAGGTCGTTTCTGGCAACAACTGCTCCGGTTCAATGCGCGCAACTTGGTACATCAATGGGCCCTGGCCTTTTTGATTGCCATCTTGTCGATATTTCCCCAGATCGTGCTCTACAACTTCCTTTCCAAGATCGAAAGGGGGACCCAGAGCTCGCCCAAAGATCCCTTGTTGCTCGTCTGGGCCCTTGCTTTGTTCTTTACCCAAGCACTGCAGGTCGGTGCCACGAATTGGCTGAAATGGATTACCGAAAGCCGAATGGATATTCCTCTTGAGTCTTTGGTGCAGACTCTGGTGTTTGCCAAAGCTCTCAAGCAGTACGATACCGTCAGTTCAGGACAGGACAGTAATGGGTCTTCGAAACCCAATGGACAGAATGGAAATGTGAATGGAAACTACCAGCCGGACACTTTGCTGAAAGCCAAAGAGAAAAAGGATGAGGAAAAGGGACAATCGGCTTACAACCTGCTGAAGGTTGACAGGTGAGTGATATGCACCTTCCATTTTCCGTCTCTGGTGCACAGTTCCTTTAACATTGGACTTCATGCAGTTCTCGCGTCACCAACTTTTGTCAGTGCAACAGCGACCTGCCCATGGCCGCTTTCAAACTTGCTCTCGCTAGCGCCTTCCTTATCCGCCTGATGGGATGGTTGCCCGTCCTCTCTGGGCTGACTGCCGCCAGTCTGGCCATACCGCTCAATCTCCATCTCTCAAGGAAACAACGAGACCAGAACTCTGGTTTGATGCAAATCCGAGATTTCAAAGCACACCTACTGGCCGAGGCACTGTTGGGAATGCGCCAGATCCGATACTCGGCCCTTGAAGACTTCTGGGAGGACAAGATCCTGGCAAGCAGAGATGATGAGCTCAAGCAGTACTGGAGAGTGGCACTCGGGAAGTGTCTGATTTTCTTCACCGTCAACATTGCACCTCTGTTGCTCGCCGGCGTCACCTTCACGGTCTATGTATGGAAACAGAGATTCCACATCAAAGCCTCGGTCATCTTCACGGCCCTCGGCTTGTTTGATCAGCTGGATGATGCAGTGTCACTCCTGCGCAAGGTACAAATCAACTTGCTCGAAGCGTGGGCAAGTGTCTCGAGACTAGACAAATACTTTGGTCGTCAGGACAAGCAAGAGGTCACCAAACCAGGGAGCTTGATCGCTTTCGAGGATGCTACCGTGGCTTGGCCTCGACCTGAAGATACCGATGAGGTTGGAGATGCTCAGGCACCACCCCGAGGGGCACATACCATGCTCACGGACATCAACGTGAAGTTCCCACCAGGCGAGCTCAGTGTCATTGCGGGTAAGACCGGATCTGGCAAAAGTCTACTCCTCGCAGCAATTCTCGGCGAAGTCAAGCTCATAGCCGGCAACATCTACCTTCCTTCTGCGCCGGAACCGAGCAACGACGAGAATATCCGAGACCAAGACTGGATTATACCCTCGCTTACCTGCTTTGTGTCCCAAACTCCATGGATCGAAAGTGGCACAGTCAGGGACAACATCCTCTTTGGTCTCCCGTTCAACCGCCTCCGCTACCAAAAGGTTCTCTGCGCTTGTGCCCTTGAGAAAGATCTGCAGCTTTTGGCTGATGGTGACCAAACAGGAGTTGGGCCCAAAGGCGTCTCGTTGTCCGGTGGCCAAAGATGGAGAATAGCCCTAGCCCGCGCCCTGTACTCGCGTGCCGGAATCATCGTGATGGATAATATACTGAGCGCTGTGGACACGCATGTGAGCAGGCTGATCGTTGAGGAGGCGCTGACGGGAGGGTTGGCCGTCGGAAGGACGAGAATTCTCGCTACCCATCATGTCGATCTTGTTCACCCATACGCCAGCTGTGTGGTGCGTCTCAGGGGCGGGCGCCTCAGGTCCGTCGGGTACAACGCTCCCGAAAACCAAAACTTGACGCCTACGACGGCGGTATTCGAGCCTGGTAGCATACCATGGGCTCGACCTGACGGCAATGGACTAGCCTCATCTTCCAGTTCAGCCATGATGGGCCTCGAGAGGAGACAAACCCGCGAGGAGAAGAGGGCTGTTGGATGGGTCAAATGGGACGTGTACAAGGCATACTACAAGGCCAGCGGTGGTGCCCTGAACTGGGCTCTAGGCATGGCTGTGCTCTTTGTTGGTCACGGTCTGGGTATTGTTCGTACCTGGAGTCTCAAGGAGCTTGCTCAAAGAGCCGCATTTGTTGAGGCAAACTCCAAGATGCCGTTCACGGCTCAGTATCATCAGACTTACAGCCAAATGACTTTAGGATACGCTGCTACCAATCCTACTGCTTGCACTCCCAAGTTCAGTATCTGCTTTTGTAAGTTCGAAGACACAGATATATATTATACTGGAGAAGAGTTAACTAATTCGGTGTCACAGGGATCTCGACATATGCTCTAGTTTGCTTCCTCGTCGGTGTGTCGCAAATTGCCCGCGATGTTACCTTTACCCTCATCGGAATGAGAGCCTCTAGGAAGCTGTTTCAACAGCTAACACACACGATTCTCCGGACGCCCATCAGATGGATTGAAACCGTCCCGGCAGGTCGTATCTTGAATCGCTTCACGTCAGATATTTCAGTCGTCGATAAACCGCTAGCTACCCCGACATTTACGTTCATACAAGCAGCCGTTCTACTGATGATCATCGTCGTCACTTGGTACGTATATCATGCCTCACATTCCATCATGCCATATCAAAGTGACACTGTGTCTTTACTGACCTGAACTACACAGTTCCTCCGTCTCCCTCTCGGTGCTTTTCTTCGTCATACTCCTCTTCGCCCTCTACGTATACATCGCCAACAACTTCATACACGTTGCCAGGGAAGTCAAGCGCCTCAAGTCCGTCTCTAACTCCCCCATCTACGATCAGTTCAGCTCCGTGTTGTCCGGCTTAACGACTATCCGTGCCTTCAAACGCACCCAGTCCTACACCAACAATTTGTACCAACTGATCGACGCCAACAGCTCTGCGAACTGGTCGCAGCAGCTCTTGAAGCGATGGATAGGTTTTCGCATGGGCATGCTCGGCGCCGTATTCGTCACAATCGTGGCCGGTGCCGTAGCACTGGGTGGTGTGGACGCTGCACTCGCGGGTTTCAGCTTATCGTTTGCCTTCCGGTACACGTCCGCTCTTACATCTCTACTCGAGGCCCTGACAGCGCTGGAATTGGGATTCAACTCATGCGAGAGGGTGTTGGAGTATATTGAGGTTGAGCGTGAAAGCGAACAAGGTCTGGACGCCCCTGCGGCCTGGCCAGCGGAGGGGAGAATCGAAGTCGAGAACCTTACGGCCTCGTATGCCCGCGATCTTCAGCCCGTCTTGTCCGATCTTAACTTCAGTGTTGGAGCCGGCGAGCGGGTTGGGATCGTTGGGCGAACAGGCGCTGGCAAATCAACGCTTGCCGCGGTTCTTTTCCGTCTTCTGGAACCCAGCAGAGGCTCAATCCGCATTGATGGGCTTGATATTTCCACCTTGAAGCTAACACAACTGCGGAAGAGCCTCGTCATTATTCCTCAAGATCCATTCCTGTTCTCGTAAGCGAATTAACTCGATTTCTCCTTCTCTTTGGTTCGGATACTAATGATTTTAATCAATAGAGGCACCCTACGTTCCAACTTGGACACCGAAGGCCGTCTAGACGACACAGAGATATACAACGCACTACGACGCGTCAATCTGATCGGTTCAATCTACAGCAATACGAGTTACCCACCATCACTCTACACACCGGTCATGGGTCCCAGAACAGTCGAGCCCGCCACCGCCGAAGTCAACATGTTCGACGACATCCAAACATTGGGTGATAACGGCGTCCAAATCACCCCTTTCATCCTCGACACCAACGACAACAACCCCTTGGATCTCCTCACCTTCGATCGTCATCCAGAAGATTCAACACCAGTCACCTCCCTCCCCGAAGTTGAACAACAACCCGCATCCGCACCCGTACCCAAGCCCCCATCACCAGAAGGAGAAACTCCCTCCCCACCACCCATATCCCTTCCCGCCCCTCTCCTTCCTCTCCCGCTTTCCCCCTCCCTCTCCGCCATAACCACCAGCACCGCCACGGTTAACCATCAGGTCAACAACCCCTTCACCAACCTCTCCCATCCCATCACCACAGGAGGCTCCAACCTCTCACAAGGCCAGCGACAGCTCGTTTGCCTCGCACGCGCTTTGCTCACCCGCCCCAAAATCATGGTGTTGGACGAGGCCACGTCGGCCATCGACCAAGACACGGACGCGGCCATCCAGCGTTCGCTGCGCGAGTGCATCGAGAGCACCGGCACCACGGTACTGGTGATTGCTCATCGGTTGTCGACGGTGGCGGACTTTGATAAAGGGCTGGTGCTGGATAAAGGTCGGGTGGTGGAGTTTGGATCGCCTGGCGAGTTGGTGAGGAGGGGGGATTCAGAGGGATAAAAACCGGCAGAGGGCGGGGAAGGAGCGAGCAGAGCGATCTGAAGGTAGCAGTGAGTATTTTGGTGATGATGAGGGTTCGGAGGAGGATGGGGAAGAAGGCGATATGAATACGTTTTGGGGTTTGGTGAAGAAGAGTGCGGAACGGGAGAGGTTGGTGGAGATGATTTTGGGAAAGAGTCCATGGAGCCTAGAATGATGAATGGACCCGCATAGTTCGACAAGTACAGGTTGGGAAGGAACCAAACACAAGAAGGAAAATCAAGAGAGAAGTTGGGATCTCGGAGAGCTGGTGAGACTGGAGTCACTGGACGGGAATTTTGGTCAAGTTAGCGTTGCCTTTATATAGCGTTGTCATGTTGAATCCTATATATTCCGCCGCTGGTAATAGAGAAACAATCCGCTGCGGTCCGGGGTATCACTAGACATTACATAATGTCTATGTTGAGAATCTTGATATCCTCCACTGGCTTGTCCTTATGCGTCTTGACGTTCTCGATGCGGTGGATGACATCCAAACCCTGGACACCGCGACCGAAAATGGTGTGCTTGTTGTCAAGCCATGGCTGTTCTCTAGGTTAGCATCGAACACGTACTAGGAGGGGAAGAGCCTGGACTCGAAACTTACCGTCTTTTCTGTCGTAATGAAGAACTGACTCCCGTTAGTATTAGGACCAGCATTCGCCATGCTGACCGTATAAGGCTTGTCGTGCTTCAAGCTGCTGAACTCGTCCTCGAACTCCCTGCCCCATATACTCTCGCCGCCTGTTCCGTCCCCAAGAGGATCACCACCTTGAATCATGAACTTCCGTATTACACGGTGGAAGATGGTGTTGTTGTAGTAGCCACGTTTGGCATGCGTAACGAAGTTCTCCACGGCCTTGGGGGCAGCATCCGGGAAAAGCCTGATGTGGATGTCGCCGTACGTGGTGTGGATGACGGCCGACTGCCCTGTCTCGACCACCTTCTTCTGCTCAGCCTTTTTGGGTCCTCCCAATACGGTTGGCTTCTCGTTCTGGACGTCTCTGGTAGACTTGGAGATTTCTTCGTCGTTTGTGAACATGTAGAAGCGAACCTTGCCGACGCCGGTTGCTATTAGCATTGGGTCTCTTGTCTCCGATTCCTGTAGAAGTGGGTTGGCAGATGCCGCCATGGCAACTGTTGTCACGCCCTTTTTCTGAGGCTGGCCTTGGTAAATCGCTAGAGTAAGGGGTCTAAACCCTTCCTCCTTGCCGTACACCTTGGCGACCTGGTTGGTGTAGGTATTGAGGACCTTGATGCCCAGATAGGAACCATAGAGGATGAAGTGTCCTGATTCGTCAAAGACAACGTTGAACTTGTTCCGTAGTGCTGGCGACTCGATCTCCCTTTCTTGCGCGATGCGACGGCCGAACTCTACGGCGTCCAGCTTCTGTAGTGCGGTACCAGCCTGCTGCATCTCCTCCACGACCTTGAGAGATTCGTCGTATGTGCGTTGTAGCTTTCCGGAAGCAAAGTCGAAGATGCGGATCTTGCGATCTGGGAAGGAGACGGTGACGAATCGGCTGCCGTCAGGAGACAGCGTGAGGGACGTTGGCACAGCCTTTGCTTTCTTGAATTCGAACAGATTTGTTGCGCTCTTGAACTTGAAGACCGACTCCGGCTTCTCGTAGGAGCCACTCGGTTGCCAATATTCCACCATGCCCCCGTCATCTGCCGACACTACGCAATCGTATCTGTCGTTGAAAGCCATGATCCCTACTGGACTCCGGTGTAATCCACTGATGGTGTGAAACGGCTTTTCTTGCTGACCACGTCCGTCGTAGAGATGGATGACAGGCTTTTCCTCCTCGGAAACTGCTAGGATGGGCAGAGGGGCACCCTTCTTGTGCACCCAGCACGGAATTTTGGTACGTAGTCGAGTTGAAGGACGGCGAGAAGATCGAAGGCATTGACGTCGAACAACTTGATGGTCTTGTCGGCACCGGCTGTAGCAAAGCTGCGACCGTCCTGGCTAACCGAAACAGACTTGATCTCGCCGAGGTGAGCCTTATATTCCTTGACGAACTCGATTTCTCCGGTGACCTTCTTCCAGAACTTGACGACGCCGTCGATCGAAGTGGTGATCAGGAAGTCGGTGATGGGCGTCATGGTGAGAAAAGTCAATTGTTCCTTGTGCATCAATGACTTGGAATACCGGGCAGACTTGGGCATGGCCTTCAGGTACAGCTTCTCGTAGGGAAGAATGCGGCGCTTCTTCTTGGGCGCCTCGGCCGAGGGCAGCTGGGGGCCCATATCATCGTCGGAAGAGCTATCTGCATGGCAACGCACCGTTGTCAGCGGTTGTGGTTTTGGATGTTTGCTACGGGCAATTGGGTTGATGGTAAAAGGGTCAAGCCAACTCACCATCTTCAGAAACATCCTGTTTAACATCCTCTGCGAATTCTTCATGCGTCCGCTTGTTCGACTTGACGTCATCTTCTGGTTCATTCGATTCCATTTTGATGTTCGGTCGGCGTTATTCGGTTGGAAAGACTCAGTTCAGAAATTTAAAGGTTATCGAAGGAGCGTCGAGTGTCTTTAAGAACCACGGTAGTCAATTGCGCCTGGAGATGGTGGATGTGGTCGTGGCGCGAGAGGACGTGTAAAGAGTAGATGGGACGGGATGTTCCTGTCGCGACACGGAACGGGTCACTATAATTCTAGGCGTAGATCGACGGTTCCTGCGTGTCCTCCCGCTGTGTCGCCAGCGGGAGGTTTAAAGTGGGGCTTCGAAGATGGTTCTCCAGGGTAGGTGAGCAAAATGCGATCTAAAATGAAACAACGTCCAAAGCTGGCGGAGACCGGCACGATCGGTCATGGATCGCCTCACGCCCAGCACGTGAAAGCAGGTTTTCTGCGTTTGCTTTCCTGTTCGTTATTTATCATCTGAGACTGTTTCCTGTCTCTTTTCTTGAACACTTGTACTCCGTCTTTCACTGAAGATATTCCTCAAATATCAACTTCGACTCGGCTCGTTCTTCCTTCTGTATTCTACCGTCACCCATATCCCCTTCTTCACCATGGCGCCAGCAACTATGACAAGGCATCCCCTGCAGCGTGTCACTTCTCCATCGCGGAGTCTTTCCGCCCTCATACACTCACTGGGCATGGCTTCATTCATGGCCAGCTTCACTTACCTGCAGCTGTTCCCGCAGGAGCTTCATCTCGGTTATGGAGGGCACTTCAAGTTCCTGACCATCATTGGCCTCGGTCTTGCACTTGTCACGTTTGCAGTTGGCTTGCTTGCGGATCTCACCTTGAGCCCGAGCCTGTTCAAGATCAAGAATGTCCTCTCGGTCTGTTCTGCACCTTTGGCCGTTCTTATAAGCACACTCTACTGGGGCATTTGTGCCATTAATAAGAACCTGGTTGTGCCGCCCGATATGGCCATTCCCGTTCTTCCGGATGTGTATGAAAACCCACCGCGGCTGTCATCTATCGGTTGTGTGCCAAACTGGTGTAACTGGTGCTGGGGCTAACAAACACTTACCTAACAGAGGATTCCATGCTATGCCGGCCATCATGCTGACGCTAGATTTGATGCTGCTGAGCCCCCCGTGGACAGTCAGAGGATATGGTGCCATGACTATCAGTATGACCATAGCATTCCTTTACTGGGGTTGGGTTGAACTCTGCTTCTCCAAGAACGGATGGTAAGGACGAGATGAGGCAGCGGCCTTGGCGGAAACCTTCATACCTTTCCTTGCAACCCTCGAGATTCGCCTAGATGTCTAACCACTGTGATAGGTATCCGTACCCGATTTTCGAGATCCTCAATACCTGGCAACGAGTCTTGTTGTTTACCTTCTCGGCGGTGTTGATGACCGTCAGCACAATGGCTCTGAAGTGGGTTTATGGCAAGATCAATGGCATCGAGAAGTTCAAGAAGGATGCTTTGCACCCTCTCAAGGACGAATGATGGATGGTTCGGGTAAAAGTTGGCTCTGGGCCGGTGTCTGTCCAACAATCCAACCAATGCCGCCATTGAACTGGCCATTGACCATCGGCCATTGGTCCGTTGTTCTGGTCGACATGCTACTGGATGTTGGTGTAAACTATGAGGCTGTAATTGAACTTTAGTAGAGCCCTGCTTTACAAGAGAAATTGACAAATCGAAACCTGTTCAATGCCATGGACAGTCAGGTCCTCGATGTCATTGCCGGGCATTGTGAACAGATAGTTACCGTTTTGAAGTCTGAAGAACAGGGCACCCAAAGGCGTGCAACCTGAACCCGGTGCTCAAGCGCCGACACCGGGCCAAGTGGGTCCCCCGCAAAGTATCAAAGGGCCGTTTGGCAGTTGGCTTCGTCACCCAGGTCGCTTTGCCCGGCGAGTATTCTTGAGGCCGATGTCTTCACCAGGGAGTCTGATTAGAAGGAGGCGCAAGGCCGGACGCATGCATGTCAATTGTGCTCTTCGTATGGAACCTTTCTTGTCGCCCAGAATCCTTCCATATTCCTTCCACGACAGTTCCATGGCGACGGACCATCCACTACATGGGGCCGGCCAATAACACCGATGTGTCTCTCCACAAGAGGATGAAGGATCACTGTTTCGTGAGCATGAGACGTAAGATGGAAATATGGTGAACTTTGTTCCTGGATATCACTCGTTCTTGAACGAGCGTGCTCACCATTCGGGGTTTTGTCATTGGTTTAGACGAAGAGGCGGCGGCGGTGGATATGGATGGATAGCTCCGTGTCTGACTCTTACACGGCCATAGCCGTCACTGTCCTGTTGGAGTGCACAAACCCCTACCTTACCCAGGTCTGTCTGTACCTTGGCGTACGGACTCGGTGTCTCTCTTTCTATCTGCTCAGACCTTTGGTGTTTTTATTCGAGAAACCTGAGGCTTATTCTTGCACGTGATTTCCGTGAGACTTTTTCGAATTCTTGTGTCGTCAGCTTGAACCCGGACTTTGGCTTCCTTGATCGGCCTTTCTCTCCCAATGACCCCACGCGGCTGACCCACAATGGGTAGGGCGTTCCAACGACGACCCCTAGCGCTGCCAACAGTCCTGGGTATCGCTACTTGCGCCCCGCTGCACCGGCACCCGTTATTGTATTCGGATCGTGTCCAACCACAAGTATTGGGTACCTCTGAGGGAGCGTGGTGTCATTGCAGGTTGGTTGCCCCTCCTAAATTTTAAGGTTCCGTTCCCAATACTGGACAGGAGCTGTCGAGTCCCCTTGCCGCCACCACGGCGGCGTTGAAAAAAGATTCATGGTTTTCTTCCCCCACAGACCTTGGGTTCTGTCCTTTGACTCATAGTATTCGTTCGAAGTCCGTTTGGTTAAAAGTCGAGGGTTCTCCTGGCTAGTTCCCGTTCTCATCTACCGTTTTACACATAGCTTGTTCCAAGACACAAAGAAAATCACAAGTCCTCAACATGTCGGTACGTAATGCCCACTTACAAAAGACGGCGGCCCCACGCCTGCCAACGCCTGTGTTTATACTGGATTGACTCACATGTCGAACTTTTAGCAACATTTCTACATCGAGAACCGCAATGTCGGCAACCAGGCCGAAAGCGAGGATTGGCGCAGTAAGTAATCACCTTGTCTGGTTCAATGAAGAAGAATATCTGCCTTTTCACCACACTTGCGACTCCTTACTGACTGTTAATCCAGTTCGCGGCTACAACCCGCTGACCCCTCCCGACCTGCTCCAACACGAAATCCCCCAGACCGCCGAGTCGAAGCAGACTGTCATCAATGGCCGCAAGGAGGTTGTCGCCGTTGTCAACGGTACCGACGAGAAGGAGAGGCTACTAGTAGTCATCGGTCCCTGCTCCATCCACGATCCGAAGGCTGCGCTTGAGTACTGCGATTTGCTGCTCAAGGAGAAGGAGAAGCACAAGGATGAGCTGTTGATCGTCATGCGATCCTACCTCGAGAAGCCTCGGACGACCGTTGGCTGGAAGGGCCTGATCAACGACCCCGATATCGACAACAGCTTCCAGATCAATAAGGGCTTGCGCCTGAGCAGACAATTGTTCGTCGACCTCACCTCCAAGGGCATGCCTCTCGCCAGCGAGATGCTGGATACCATCAGCCCTCAGTTCCTTGCCGATCTGTTGAGCGTTGGCGCTGTTGGCGCTCGCACCACCGAGTCCCAGCTCCACCGCGAGTTGGCTAGTGGTCTCTCTTTCCCCGTCGGCTTCAAGAACGGCACTGACGGTACCCTTGGTGTCGCCATTGATGCCATTGGCGCTGTCCGTCACCCCCATCACTTCTTGTCCGTCACCAAGCCTGGTGTCGTTGCCATTGTCGGAACCGTTGGCAACGAGGACTGCTTCGTCATCCTCCGTGGCGGTACCAAGGGCACCAACTACGATGCGAAGAGCATCGCCGAGGCCAAGGCCGCGCTTGAGAAGAGCGGCTTGCGCCAGCGCCTGATGGTTGACTGCAGCCACGGTAACTCCAGCAAGAATCACAAGAACCAGCCCAAGGTCGCCGCGGAGATTGCGCAACAGCTTGAGAATGGCGAGACCGGTATCATGGGTGTCATGATTGAGAGCAACATCAATGAGGGTAAGTTTGTTCCGCATATAACTGTGTGGACGATGAAGCTGTTCGCTAACAAAACACATAGGTAACCAAAAGGTGCCCAAGGAAGGCAAGTGCGGTCTCAAGTACGGTGTCTCTATCACTGATGCCTGCATCGGCTGGGAGGATACCGTCGCCACTCTCGACACTCTTGCGCAGGCCGTCAAGAAGAGGAGGGAGGTCCTTGACAAGAACTAAAATTCATGTCTTTTTCCTGGTATTGTTTGCTTTTATGGTTCACGGGTCATTTAATGGGTTTACATTGGATCCCAGATAAGGGATAATATATGCTGGCGCGGGGATGGGAAATACAAAAGTTAACATTTTCTGCATATGGTGTCTTTTGTTTGTTTACCAGAGTGTGCGTTAATACATCTTCATAATGGTCAATAAGACAATAAAGGAGTTGAGAGATGAAGGGGCGTTGGGATCTCAAAAAAAAAAA